TTATGAAGATTTACATTGAGTTGAATAATGTATTTCTTCGATTTGGATTGTAAACAACAAATTATACTGAGGAACTGTATTTTATTTGAATATCATAGTAAGCAGCAATTTGAGTTACTTAAAATATCATGATTTTTGTTTTTATTTATTGTTTAAAATTTATATCAACATTGTAGGTAATTTAAAATCATCATAAATAATAACTGATGAAAATAATTATATAATAATTATTATTTATTTATTTTTTAATGAAAATCTTGTTTTATCAAGACTTTCTATAAATACTTTTAAAAAAATTTAAGCTTATTGCATTTTTAAAACTTTTATTTATTAATTTGAAATTCTAATTACTTAATACCTTATGTGAAAAATGTTTTGTTGTATAAATGTTTCTGAGTAATTTATTATAGTTCTATATATATGTATATATTTTATGTTCAAACCATTTAGAAATGAAATGTCTTGGAATAAATGAAGAGTTGACTCCACTTGGTCGTATTTTAGCAAAATTACCAATTGAACCACAGATTGGTCGCATGATGGTGCTAGGAAATATCTTAATGCTAGGGGATGCTTTAGCTATTATAGCTGCTATCTGTTCAAACATGACAGATATATTTGTGTTTGGTAATTAATTTTTTATATGTATAGTAATTTTTTTTAAATTTATATTTATTCATTTATATTTATGTTTGTAGATCATAGAATGACACCAGCTCAGCGAGCTTTTTCTGGTAACCGTTGTTCTGATCATTTGACTGTACTGAATGCTTTCCATCAATGGCAATCTTTACTTTATCGTAATATTGATACAACAGAATTCTGTGAACGTAAAATGTTATCGCAACCATCATTGACTACAACAGCAGATGTTACGGTACCTACTTCTACTATTTCAAGTCATTTAATTTATTTTAATATATTCAAAACAATACTTGTACATTTATAATATTTAAACTTCATTCAACCACCAGGAACAACTAAAAGATCTATTTATTAAAATTGGATTTCCTGAAATATGTTTCGAAAGGCAGAAATTTGATTTTGGAAAAACTGGAATGTACAACGATCCAATATTAGATTTAATATCTGCCATTTTAACAATGGGATTTTATCCTAACGTCTGTTATCATAAAGAAAAACGAAAGGTAATTTTTCTAAATATTTACAAACAAAAATTTAATCATTATAATATAAAATGTATATTTATATAGAAATTGTTTAAGTTTTGGAACTAAAAATTTAAAAAAAAAAATTTATTATTGTTATTGTTATTTTTTTTTTTTTTTGGAATTTATTAAATTTTCCAATTTCTTTTTAGAAGACATCGGCAGTAACTGTTTTTAACTTAAAAACATGTCATGTATCTTTTCACCGTTTTATTTTGATAATTGTGTTTTTAAGACTATATATAACTGGTGTTTTTTTGATTTAGAATTAAGTTTAAAGAGATAAATTTAGTTGCATTTTAAATATTTTGAAAATATTTATTAATAGTGGTTTTTTTTATTTCAATGACTAATAAACAATAAATATAATGCTTTTATTTTTAAATGTATTTATCTTGTAAATAATACACAGTAAAGTATAGCAATTTTATTCCATCCAATTAATATACTGTATTGGTTTGAATTAAGAACATATGATAATATGAACTATATATTTAATGAAGTATATTAATATAATATATTCTGGATTTATATTTAGGTTTACACAACAGAAGGAAAGGCTGCACTAATTCATAAGACTTCTGTTAATTGTAATAATGTCATGGCAGGTTCTTTCCCATCACCATTTTTTGTATTTGCAGAGAAGGTAAGATTTAGCATAAATTAACCTTGTTAAAATTGAATTACCTGATATAATATAATAATTAGCTTTCTATTTGCTCATATTGCTTGAATAAAAGACTTGGGAACCCACTACACGTCATCCATTTTATTTTGTAGACACATAAACTACATGGTATCGTATGTAGTTAAAATACTTGGATTTATTAAACATAACATTAATTTTTTCTTTTCTCTTAATTGTCTTAGTTCTTATTTGGTCTATTCTTGAGTTTGGTTTTATAGTGTGGCATCCATATCTTACAAAAGACCAAATTAGATTGAAATGTACAAAACCGATTACTTTCCTTTGTAGCAGATAGATTCAAAATCAATGTGCCTACTCGTAATTACAGTTAATTGTGGAATTTACTTAATACCCTTCCTTTTTTCTCAACGCACTTTTACAAATAACTACTTTTTATTTGTTCTCCTATGCAACACATAACCAAATTCAGTTCTATGTTCTACTATATTATAGCCTATGGTTTTAATGATCTTTGTAGGATGCTACATAGTGCTAATAGTATTATACTTTAATTATAACTTGATCCTTAGATTTTTTTTCAATTATCTTCTTCATTTAGCTCACACACACATTTAATTGTATATTGTAATAATAATTTACTTTTATGTATATTTTTCAATTGCTGCTTAGCGTTTAATATAATAAATAGATAAATAAATTAAATAAACCATTACTAATAGTCTTTCATCTATTAAAATTATGGTATGGTTTACATTTAAGAAGTTTAAGGAGCTAAAATAATAATTTATGTGGAACATTATATGAAAATTGTATAAAATAATTTATTTTTTCCATTTTAGGTACGTACTAGAGCTGTATCTTGTAAGCAAATGACCATGGTAACTCCTATTCATCTTCTATTGTTTGGTGCTCGCAAAATTGAATACACAAAAGAATTTGTCCAATTAGATAATTGGTATGTACTGGTGATTAATTAAAAAAAAGAATCAAATATATAAAGAAATTTAAAAAAAAATATTGTTTTCAATTTCTTTGAAAATAATATTATATTCAACATTATGAATATTTTAAAATGTATAATGTAATTTAATAAAGTTTTGAATTACTTTGTGCTTATAGGATAACTTTAAAAATGGATGTTAAAGCTGCTTCTGCTATTGTAGCTTTAAGACCAGCTATTGAAAGTATAATTGTACACATATCTGAAGATCCAGAATCAATTACAATGTTAAGTGAAAGAGATATTAAGCTTATAAATGTTATAAAAGAACTATGTAATTTTAACTGTGGTAGATACAATCTTTCTCCAATATCATTTGATCAAGGGTAATTATAACAATTTTAAATTTATTAATCAAATAAAATATGTACAACTTATTTTTAAATATAGTGATAGACCTAATTACAAAAGACAGTTTAACCAAACATCTAATGAAAGTTGTGATACTTCATATGGCAAAGTACAACATATTAATAGTTCTAATCCAAGTTATAATAATTATCAAAGAGGTGGTAGAGGAGGTTATAATCAAGGAAGTGGTTACCGTGGAAGTCCTTCGTCATTTGGTAATAGATATAACCAAAGAGGTTATCAAGGGGGTGGTCGTTTTGTAAGAGGTATGTAACATTTTAGTTTATAATTTTAGTTAGGTTTTATGTTTTATCATACATTTAAATACATTTATTTTTAATAAATTATAAACTGTTTTAAATTTTTTAAATTTGAATACATTTTATTCATGTTTATACTCTATTCATATTTAAAAGTAACCAGTTTTTGTTGGTGGCACGCAGATTACATACATAACTGTTATACTTTATATTTAATCACTTACCAATAATATAAACATAGAGCGATACCACACCCATGTGCAGAAATCGGTCGTCTGGATCGTTTCTTAACATGAACGGAGTAATAATAATTAATAATAAGTAATTATATTTAATTTGAGTTACTATAATTGTTTATTTAGTATACACATTTGACGACAAACTTTAATCAAATTTTTTAGTTGTTAATCTTAACATACTTCTTTTTTTGATCTTTGATCATTGATATCATCTATAAAAAATTGAGATCATCTATCATATTTTTTATGCGTGTATAATTTGTCAAAGTATTATTACATATGCAATAAACATTTATATAATGTATATTCATAAAGAATTCTAAAAATTGAAGTTCTATGGCTGGATTGTAACGTAGTGAAACTAGGAAATCCTTATTTCTTGAAATGATGTTGTAAGGGAAATGTATCATTTTACACTACTTGATATTGTCAATAGTAGAAATTCTTATCTTCTAAAATAAAGATATAATTAATTTTACATACAATTTTTCTCAAATTATAATATAAAGGCAATTTATTTTATATTATATGTCATAAATCGTGATTACAGGATTATCATAATATAATTTTTTTCAAATAAATTAAATCACCTTTTTTTTATAACAAACTAATATGTACTTATTATTATTTAACAATATAGGTCCCTTGATTTGTTCCTAACCTATAAAATGTGTTTTATGACTTGTGTAAAAACAGTTAGGTTATAGTTTTGATTTTGTTGAATAAATTGTTTTGTTCTCCACCCTAGTTTTTTTCAAAGGTATATTGAAATTCTATTCTAACAATTGTTTGGGAATTTTGACATTTGTTTAATCACTAACCACTATTAGTGTAAACACACACGTAAAACGCATAAAATATAACTAACATTAATATTATTTTTTATTTATAAATTTAAAATATCATATTACTAGTAACTAGTAGTTATTACTAGTTATTACTATTCATAATTCCATATCAATAAAAATAATATTATATAATTATGTCTGGTATATATTATATATTTTTTTTAATTGAGCATTAATGATTAATTTAATATAATATATTAATTATATTATACATTTAACTTAACACTATTAGAGTTAGACTTATTTTTAAATTAATTCTAAGGAATAAAAACTTATGAGTACTTTTTATTTTTAGGACGAGGTTTCAGAGGATATAGCGGTGATGCAAACTTTAGAAGAGGTTACTAAATCAGATGGTATAATACATTTTTTCTTATTTAAGTCAATATTTAAATTTGTTTTTCTTCCATCATGATAATGTTTATATTATTATTTTAACTACACAAATAATTTATCATTATTTAAGTCAATTAATCTTTAATAAATTTTGTATAATAAAAACAGTACAATTATTTTATCTTAGAATTACATATTTTAATACACATTAAATTAACTATCACTTTTATTGCCATTTTCCAATGCTTTCTTTTGTTCTTGCTGGTATCTGAAAAATTAATAAAAATATAAGTTTGTAATTAATCTCTACAACCGTTCAAATAAGTTGTTTAATGCACTACAATTCACTAAACAATAATTTAAATTATTGTAATTAATTTAAAAAAATATAATAAATAGTTATGAATTAATGAAATTATTCAATTTTTCTATTTGTTTCAAATAAAAATATGATAATATTATTGAAATAAGTAAAACCTTATTAGTTCAACCGAGGATCTTTTTACGACTTACAAATAAGAAAATTTAATATCCATTAAAAAGAATGAGTAATAGTTATTATTTGCATTATTATAAGTATATTTAAAACTTACATAAAAGCTCTGACCAAGTGATACAAATTTGTAGCACCCACAAAAACATTAACACTAAATAAACTCCAGTTTTTGGGTATGATGACGAGCGAATATCGTGACCACACTATACCAGTAGCAGCTAATGCTGAGCATTGAGATATACTAATTTTTTCTGCCGGACGGGTAATATCTCCAATTCCAGCTATAACTAAGCCCTAGAAATGCATATGATTACAATTAAAATGATTAATTTAAAAAAAAAAATGCTTATCATTATTACCCATTTAAAAGCGGGCGCCCAGAAGAAAATAGTCTTAGGACCTGTGAAAATAAAATGTAGTGATATGTCAAAATGTTTCTCGTGAGAATTCACACCGAGAAGGACGGTTCAAATCAAAAAATAATATGTTTAAGTTACCCGCTGGATGTTCCCAAAGTGGCCTCAAGCCCCGAGGTACAACTTTGTCGGCTGCTGAAATTACGGCTTTGTAGACGACAGACATGATTTAGGAAATAAGGACGTTTTCCAAACGATCTTACCTAATTAACAGTATATTTAAATTTAATTGATAATCGTGTTAGTGGCTACAGTTATTATTGGCGAATATTGTAATAATTGTCACTGGTCAATACTCAATAATATTTATTAGTTGTTGAAATATGAACTTGAAGTGCCCTCCGGAATAGGCCACAAGGTCGAAGGTCGACGTCTTGACGGTATTATTCAGATTATAGGCAAAACTCAAAAGCACAAAATAAATAGTTATTGACTGAGTGATAAGGTTTATCAATCTTAATTCAAAAAAAATACGCACGATATCTACAAATGTTTTTTACTTATTTGGAACTATATACGCATATTATCTATTAATGTATTATCAATTATATTTTATCGCAATGATTATAAAATAGTAAGTACATTCAACAGAGAATATTAATAATATTATTAGTTATTTGTTATTATAATCTAATAATCTATACTCAGTAATTAGTTATCAGTACTCTTTACTGTGAAAGTAATAACTTACTCTTTACTATGTCTTAGCTACTAATAATATTTCAATCTAAATATGTAATAAACTGTTTTATTTTGAATTTTTGAACATTTAAATATCTAAATAAAAAAAAAACGTATTTATGGTTAATTAAGTTAATTTAAAATGGTCCTTTAACCAATTCAGATTACATATTGTTCCTACTATTGTATACAAAAAAAACTAACCACGATTGAATATTGATTTTATTGCTAGATAGCGTTGTAAAACACGATTTTTGTTTTATTTTTATTTAATTTTTCTATTTTAGAGCAACCGACACGACATATTTACAAAAAGTGTTTACATAACTATTAACTAAATACAATGTTTTTCTCAGTCATTAATAAACATTTCTTGTACATATTACTTTAACATGATGTTTATATTCAACAAGTAAGTATCGATTTTCGATTCATAAATTGGACTACTATTTTTATTTATAATTCTTAAAGAAATAAAAAAATTAAATTGCAAATAATAGTTATTAAAAGTAAAGTTTATTTAAAATTCTTTTAAAAGTATGCCAATTTTAAATTTAAGTTAAAGAAAAAATTGTAATTTATGATAGATCTTTAGACATAAAATACTGTAAATTTTTAATTCAAGTCTTAACGTTAAACAATAAACAATCGAATAACACAGTTGATATTTAAAATTTAAAACATACCTAATATAAGTCCGTTGGTGTCATTTATTTTAAAATTTGATAAATAGGAGGTTATTCTTTAAACGCCCATAAATTCCAAAGGTTAGTATAACTACTTGTGAATTAAAAAAAAAAATGCTGAAGACGTTTTTGATTACAACCTATAAGAAAATCCCATTTAAATTGTTTTGTTTTACATTTTTTTTAGATATTTTGTAGTAGTAGTGTACACTATACGTACATTTGGATTTGTGTATACATAATGATAATTATATTTTATAATATGAACATGTGAAGACAAAATATCACCAAGTAAGTAGGTACTTATTTATTATTTAAGTTGAAGAATTTCTATCTATTCTTGTATACCTAAATGACTCATTAAATTTAATGATTTCAGCAGAATAAGTACCAAGTATACTGATTAATGTCAATAACTTGGAAAAGTTATTATTTTTACATCACTAATATTTTTATCTAATGAATTACGCATTTTGTGTAATATCTTTTATAATTATCGTGAATTTCATATACAAATATTAATGCACTTATTTCAATTAGTTAATTATCATTAAATTAGTTAAAATCAAGTATTGACATTATCTTTCAAGAAATTATAAAATATTTACTACAGGTGGTTTCTTATCCAACGCTAAATGTATAATAATTAGTATTATCATTGTGAAAAAGTTATAACATCATCGGGTGTAATATTTAATGCCGATATATCATTTGTACCTAGTGAAATTCGATCACTTTATACTTGACAATTGAACTTGTGCAATACAAATTTAAACAGTCGCACTTATTGATAATGTTTGTTGGTTACGATCGGATTATTATAGGTTTTATTTTATGTTTTAATATTATTAGCTGTACACCTTTGTTTAAAGTTAATCATATCATACAAATAGTGAATAGCATTCCAAAACACTCATGGAAGGTAAGACGTATTTGAACTAATTTAAAAACAGTTTTCACATAAGGAGTCTTGCAATGTTTTTAATAAAATCATATACTTACCTATACTTTTTTAATTGAATTTTCCTGTTCCTATTCCATTAATCACAAGAAAAGGTTGCTGAACAAGTTAAACTCAATGTCTAAAATAAATAAACTATATGCATACGAGTGAAATCAATAATATTTAATAATTATTAAAATATTTAACAGTATAAAATATATCTTCTGTAATTTATTTTGTTTTTATTATCTACCTAGGTAATTGAATTTAAAAATAAATATATTTAGGGACTTTGAAAACAATTTAATAATCTATAAAGGCAGAGTTTCGAAATCAGTAGCGTGTATCAGCGTTATTTAGGTAACTGTGTTATATTTATAGCCTGTACATTATAATAATCAATTACCCGCGTTAAATTTGAAATTACTTTTAACTGAAAAACATAATATTTTTTATCTAACCTTAATAAAATACATACACGTCAATATCAACAGTTACATTTAAATAATAATTGGACATTTAAATTATAATTTTTAAATATATTTTTTTATAGATTTATGATAGATATAATAATTGTTGGTTTTTCGAAAAATATTAATTTAAAAACTGAATAGAATCGTTTGATTATACATGTTATTTCATACACTGAACTATAAATAGGTTATTTATCTTTAATCTTCATTTTTATATTAATAATATTAAAAAGATAAATATTAGTATAGGTATATTCAGTGGCGTATTTACGGTGGAGGGGGGGGGTCCCGAGTCTCGACCCCCCCAGAAAAAATAATATTAATTTATATTATGTGTTTTAATGTTTGTATTACAATATTTTTAAAAATAACTTGGGTTTAACTATTAATTGACATTTATTTTCATAATAATAGTGAAATATAATATAATATAAATAATATCATTATTAAATCATAACTCGTATGTATTTTATTATAATGTTATAAACTTATATTTAATATTAGGACCCCCCCCCCACAAAAAAATTGAAAATACGCCACTGGGTATATTATGAGTGATAGGTAAATGGATTACTTATTTTATAATAAAAAACATTTATAATATTGATGTATAAGCGACAAGTGTCAAGCGTACTGTTTATTTGTGTAAGTAACATGTCCATATTACTTTTTCATCTAAATATAATATGCATAATATAAATCTATGCCTATTTTTTATAATTTTTTAGTAATTGTTATTCATATATTTTATTTACCCATCTAATATGCTGTAACTTATCTATACCTATGTTAGCTATTACATTTCGTAATATTTTAGAACCAACTTTATTTATAAATATTGATGTTAACACTTTTAAATTGTAATTATAACTTACTTAAACATATTTTTTATGAACCCTTCATATAAATTAATAGGTACCTACCTATTTCCTATACTTACATGGTATAGTGTCATTAGGTTCTCGAAAAAATTATCATAAATAATTAAGTAACTTGTAACGAAGTACCTGACTGTAATTATAATTATAATACTAGTAGGTAACTAGTTACAAAGTTTCAAATTATATCTTATATCTTGTAACAATTTTAGTGTAACCAGTTAAAAATAATCGAGTAGGTAACTTGCATATGCCTATAAAGTATAAATAAGGTTTTTCGAAATTTAAAGGTAAAATGCACTTATATTACGACATTTTAGGTTAATAAATATTACACAAAGGTACAATAATTAATAATAGTTTCATATATATTACATTTACATATTGATATTAATAATCAATATTTTAATATACTATTTAAGGCTGGAATAAATTTCTATCCAAGTTTTTTGACTAACGTTTCACATCTCATGGGAGTTCTACCATTGAATAAACTAAGTGAAAATGATATTCTCCTTACAAACGATTTATCCATTGATTTTGAACCTTTGCCGGAGAGTTACGATGTCACACAAACATGGTCTGAATGTAAATCGGTTGTTTCAATCAAAGACCAATCAAACTGCGGATCTTGTTGGGTGAGGAGTTTCATTACATTTTATCATTTGCTTTCTAACGGCTAAAATAGTTTAATCTACAAATCCGCCACCACAATATAAATTAAAAATTTATGAAGTATATAACATATTGAAAACCTATGCATAGGCCCTATCAACCGCTTCTGCGTTTGGTGATCGTCTATGTATCGCCACAAACATGAATTATAATAGAGTCTTATCTGGTGAGTATATAAATTCGTGTTGCAATGGAAAATGTGGTAACGGATGTAACGGTGGATATCCAGAAAAAGCATGGAAATTCATAAAGAAAAATGGATTATGCACAGGAGGTGAATACAATTCTAATGAGGTTAGTGTCGTATGTAATATAATAAAGCTTTTTTTACTCACCTAAATACTTTTTTCTTTAAAAATACTTTAATTTAGGGATGTCAGCCATATAGTATATTTCCTTGTCCAATAAATACGAATTACTGCTCAAAGAAAAATGAAGAAACTCCCCAATGTTATAAAAATCAGTGTACCAATTCTTACTATGAGATTCCATTATCATCAGATCTGTACTATGGTAAATATTAAATATATTGAATTTTAATTTTGTTTAATACATTTTTAATATATTATTGTTGGTTTTTATTTTTTATTTTGTAGCTACTAAAGTGTATTCTGTTAGACCAAAACCGGAAATAATTATGAATGATATATATAAAAATGGACCTGTTGTTGCTGCAATGAAAGTCTATGAAGATTTCATACACTATAAAGGAGGTAAGTTCTTAAGTAGTAGATATACATAGTAATTAGATGGTAACCATTATCGCATAATCGACTAACTATAGTTATCAGTTATCACTATCAGTGTCCATTGCAAATATCCATGATAATTTAATACGCATAAATGCATAATATTGAGTATATGTAATATTTAATTTATACTTTTATTTTTAGGAATATATCAGTATACGACCGGCGAATTAAAAGGTGATCACGCTGTTAAAATAATGGGATGGGGTCAAGACGACGGAATAGATTACTGGCTATGTGCTAATACATGGGGTACTTCTTGGGGCATGGGAGGAATGTTTAAAATCCGACGAGGCAGAAATGAATGCGGAATTGAAAGTCGTATAACTGGTGGATTACCGAAAATATAAAAACGTAATAAGATGATTGAATAATAATAAATAATTATTGTTTATAATGTTTTTTTTTTTTTCAAAGCATCTTGCTACCTATACGTTACATAACATATGTCATAAAATCATAGGCAGGTCTTCAGGGGAAGGCTTTCGAGGGCTGAAATTTCAATATCTAGTGTCCTTGTTTCAAAGAATTGTTTCTAACTAAATGTGTATCTATAGATTATAATGAGTGTATTATATGTATGTATAATATATACAATATACGGGACCGGTCCAATGTGTGATCTACCGATAAACTGCTATCTACGATAAAGCGTTATAGGTATAGAACGTGTGATCTACTGAAAACATATCTATATTTTACACTATATGCTATACCTATATAAATTATCGATATGATATAGATTTTACGACTATATTGTATTTTTAAAATACATCATTTAAACATTCAGTTACCATAATTTAGCGTTTATTCGTATCATTTGTTTGTTGGTCAATTTTTTCAATTTTTTTTTTACAACTAGTTTTGTTACGATTTAAATTTTAAAATGAATTCTACTACAAGAATGGGATATTTATATAGAAATATAATTATTGATGAATTGAAATTGAGCTCATACTCAAACAATAGAGTTGTTATGGAAGTTAGTTAAGTCTAAGTATAATATTAAACTTAATGGTGCATCTCCATTATTAGACCGCCAACTTAAAAAAGAATGGTGGCGGTCATGCCACCCGGTACAAACTCAAATATTTGATGATTTTTTATCAGATTTAAAAAATACTTTTGTAATATGAATATAATATATAGTTAATAGTAATCACACATTGGACCAGCCATTTATTGGTAGATCACACATTGGACCAGCCGTTTATCGATAGATCAAACATTGGACCGGTCCCTAATATATCTGTCAATTATAAATTATTAAATCTAGATAAATCTTTATGTTTATATATCTAATGTCACTATAATTGCTTGATTATTAGCATTCAGACAAGAAAGATATCATTATTTACATCGGTGTCCTGTTTACTTAAAAATTAATTTTTGAATAATTGTTTCCTTATATTTTATGCAACAAACGTCAAAATAGCATCTACCATTTAATATTTTTTTTACATGTATTTTTATGGGAAATATACCGCAAATAAATTTTCGAAGTGTACGGACGCTACAAGTAAAATTAAATATGACTAATAGAAATTTAAAGAAAAAATTAAATCGTTATGTATTTATTTAAAGTATAATATGTTGTACAAAATCAAGCTATAATAGCAATGAATAATAATATTTCTTTCAAGTGAATTACATTATTAAAGTTATTTAAATTTAAATAAAATATAATTCGTACTGAATTATTTTAATATTAAAATAATGATTATTCTACCAGGAAATTATTTCTAACTAGGTATGTTTGAAACCGATTATTTGGAAGTACCGAAAACTGAACTAGTATTACAAAAAAATTATAATAAAGTTAAATAACATTTAAACAACATGGATGTTATGTTTTAGTTTCTATTATGATTATAACTTTTAGATACTAATTTGTTGTTTGAAAATGTTAACGTTGGCGGGAATCTCCTGCTACTTGTGTCCGGTCATAATAATGTAATTGAATTGTAGTATAGGTATCTACTGATAAATGTCATTACCAATTTTAAACGGATTTACGGATATACTAATGTACGTGTAAAAATAGTAATTAAAACATGTTAAATCTTTACTGTATATATATTATATACCTATATTTACCACTATACGAGTTACTGTTGAATACTATAAAAAAAAATAAAACACGATAATAATATTCACAATAGGTATGTAGGTAGGTATAGTTTTAATTTAACGCCACTATAGGTATAATTAGTTATAACTTGTTCACTTATTTTTCTACAATGCTTGTATATCCTGCGTCCCTACCTCATCCTAATTCTTAGTCATCCTGTAGTATTTAAATCTTTGTATATAATATCTAACCATCAAACATTTTTACTTAATTATTATCCACAATATACATTATATATACAATATTGAATGATAAATAAGTGTATTCGTGTTCAAAAACAATTTAAATTATAAAATTAAAATGATATTCTTATTTATGTACACAATAATAATATTAAAATTATTGGCCATCACAGATTATATTATTAAACCTTCGTAAATTATATAATATATGTATATGCGCTGGCCACTTGCAAAGAAACTCTTACATTTTTTCATTGTTAAATTATTTAGACCTTAATATACACATTATTATTTCATTGTTGATTAAGTGTATAATTGAAAATATTTTGACCTAGCGTTTACTTTAAAAAAAGTGTTTTTATTATAAACGGTTTAAAAACTTAATACATATTATTATTCCTTTATAGGATTCGAATATGTCAAAATATAAGACAACATTTTGTGTAAAGTGTGGTCATAAAACTGGCTGGATTATTCCAGTGAATTTAAAAATGACAAGAAATAGAACACCAATATTACGCGGAAAGTGTTGTAAATGCAAATGTAATAAATCTTCATTTGTTTCTTTATGCTTTTATAAGATGCAGATGAAAAAGTAGTAAGATTGTTTGTATTATATACACTTCAAATAATTATATAAACTATATAAATAGAGTTTGATTTTTTCATACCTATTTTAAATGCTTTTTTTATTGATTATATTGCCTTCAAATCCGATCCCTATACATAAACTTAACATCAATTTAAATATTAAGAGTTAATTAAAATAAGATTTACATTAATATTTTAAGAAAAAAAATGTAGGTAATTATGTTCAATTTTATTTAAGTAAAATATGTTTTTTTAGTAAATGTTCTGGATCACGTCGCGGTCGTCGTTAGTAATATGTTTGAAGACAAGATGTCAGATGAAAATCTATATTGTACATCTGTGTATGAAAACTGTATTAATATAAATATTGATTTAAATAAATAACCAAAACACTAAAATGTATGATGTTCTTGTATTTATAATTATGTATTATCCATTGAATTTAAAAGCCGAAAAATAAATTAATGAAAATAGTTATATTGTTAATAAATATTCAGTTGTAAGTTTTAATTTAAATAATAATTCATACAAATACATAAGTTAATATATACATAATTGCTTGATCTGTCAATTTTTACAACTTACATAAAACGTGAATGTGAATTTTTCTTTTGATTTTAAATTAGAATATTTCATTCATATTCACTAAATTAATTTAATTAATAAATAAAATATGTAAATTTTTTATTATAAAACTATATTTTTTTTTTAAATCAATAATTTGTCATATTTTAATATTGTCAATTATCATGGAAATATAATGACAAATCAACAGCTCAAATTCTTATAATTTTCCAAAAAAAAAAAAAAAATGAAAACTTATAGCCAATGCTTTCTCTTGATTTTCATTAATATTAAATGGTCCATAATTTCATACATTTAATTTTTATATGTTATTTAAGTCATATTCTGTAGACCAATTATAAAATATCTATTTTTTCAATGAAGAATCGCATTGCTTTGTACTGTGAAATGTTATGCAAATAATTTTTGTTTTAAAAATGTTGATTGATGCATCTTAATTGAATTTTGAATTAGTAGTTTAATGCGTGTGAGTAAAATTTATGATTTATATAATAATATTTTCCTATAATAATCATTTTGGGAGTAATCATTATAGTTGAAATAATAATTAAATAGTTTATTAATAACATCTTTCTCTATCTGTGTTGACGTGATGAAAAATTTTGAACACGATTAACATGCTTCCATTATCAAATTATATAAGTACTGTATAACTATTGTAAAATTAAAATTTATGTATAAACACTTACAACTGCGTTTTGAATTTTGATATAGATAAGTCAAGTGGAGATTGCAGGTGTAGGAGGTTAAATTTTGAGGAATAGACAGCATGCAGTTGTAATTATTGGTAATTAAAAATCAAAATAAATAATACTTATAGTATATAATAATTATTTTATCTTAATATTTATACATATAATATTATATTATATTATTATTTATACATATAATATTATATTATATTATATGATTATACGACCAGTAATCACAAAAAAAAATTATATATATACTAAAATACTTTCTCACGCTTTGGTCAGTCTTAAAATAATTATAATAAGTTACTAATCTGTATGAACCTCTCCGTCTATCATAATATAGGTGATACTTTTAATAATTTCACTATTTATCTGCAATCGATCTCACGCGTTGCGTGTGTAGTTGCTGTGTCCATAAAATATAGTATTTTATTAACAAAATAACGTTCAACGTCAAAAGTAAGCGAATAAAATTTAATAATTTTATTTACTTACCTATTTTAACAAATATGATTTATTCTTTTAATGTTTTTGTAATGTATTGTATGTATATGTCATCGATAATAAATCATGTTCTTCGAAAAAATTATCTTCACCAACTATACCTATAAATCGAATGTTAAACAATATGTACCTATTATAATTTTGTTGTAATAGACCAATTTTTGCTAGTGATATCTGAGTGTATAGATCATTTTAACCGGTGTTTGATAAATGATAAATCGTCTGGTTTATTCAATGTTAAAATTATAATAAATAATGTAAAAACAATAAAATTGACTTTACTTCACTCAGTTTTTTTCATAAATCATAATCGTATGAAAATCAAAAACTTTCTCGAGTAACGAAAACATTTGATGAACTATCAGTTTATGTTAATAGGTGTTGGTAATTTAAATGTAGTCATACAGATCGATATACCATAAGTCCGTAAACAGTTAAGATATTTCGAAACTAAATGTAATGTAGATTAAGACTAGGTTTTTATAGACTTTAGTTATATTTACAATCTTAAGTGAATAATATAATCTATGCGGTTTATTATAATTAATAAGTTATGGTACTTAAACAGTATTAAGTATTTTGAATCTAAAATGATGTCCGATAACTGTAAATTAAAAATATTTTTTTTCTTTTTATGACTTGACACTTAAAATGTAGGTAATTATCTTTTATAGTTTTCGTTTTTTATGTATAACGATTTTCAGAATAAAATGAATATATTTATTGGTTACTTTTTAAAAAAATTTTTAAAGTATTATTAAAAAATTATCGAAATTTTGCCATTTGTGTTTTGTAGATTCTTGATATTAATAATATTCGATACATAAACGCAATAATGTATTATCTAACACACAATATTATGTAAAGTACAATTACTATAAAATAATAAAATAGTTGCATTATGCGTTATTCTAAAATAAATACAAGTAATAATTAACATTATAATCAATAACTCTAAAAGGATTATAAAATGATTGATATATATATATTATGATGTATGACCCTTATATTATTATATTTGTGTACAAAACAAACCTATAAACGCGCATTATGATGTTTATGTTAATAAAAACAAAACCGTGTTAAATTATTTATTCACTACATTTTGTTAAATAATGTAAACAAATAAACACGTGTAAAACGTTTCTGTATAATAAATTAATTTAAGTTCTATAATAGAGCTAGGAATCAGAAACGTATGAAATGGTTTAGTGTGTAAACAAACGATTTAAGAATTACGATGGTCAAGGGCATTTGAACCTAAGGGAGAGTGGCCGGTTCACTTTATTGATATCGATCGAATGTGTCAAATATATTATACTGCAGTTAAACACGAACATTAATATATTTTTTATTTCACAATACACACTACACAACTAGTTTAATAAGTATAGGTGTATAGTTTTATAATTGTATGTAATTACTAATTACTAATTAGTAATTTTTAACCACCATAATTGTAGTTGACAGCTTATAAATGTTTTACAAAATAATACATAGTATAATAAACCTATATAAGACGCTAAATAATTAAAAATGTCGTGTGTTTGTAAGTAGGTACTTTCGTTTTCTTTTTTGTCAATAAGAACTGTTAAGTTAAGTATAATTTAATCAATAATGCGCTGCTTTGCGTCCATAAAACACTTCGTATAATAATCGTCATAATGTTGATTATTTCGTGAAAAAACGAGTTATACTTAGTTAACTTAAGTATATACCAGTAATAACTCATACCATAGTTGTGCAATGCATATGAGATGCATATTTAAGATTAAGAGTATATTATGACCAAGTATATATTGTACGACGTAGTTACGAGTTATGTAATTTAGTATGATAGTTGACTGGCGAAATTTTTTTTGTGTATATAGTATATAATATAAAAATATACGTTTATCTATAAAACGTGTAGCTATCTAGATAATAAATAACGTTATGATGTAAAAAAAAAAAAAAAATCAAAAACAATATACAATTTTGAAAGGCAAGGGAAACGCGAACCACAACACAACCACATCTCAATACTAGAGGTTATGTTACATACATATGCGAATGGTATAAAACAAATACCTACCGTTAAACGATTTTTTCTCGTCTACCGCAGGCGTCTATTTTACACGGCATACGTAATTACGTATATTTGTATATAATATAGTTATAGTATATAGTATATACATAGTTTTAATGGGTGTATTTTTAATTTATAGAGCTAGGCCATACCGCTTTTTTTCGATATCCAATTCACTAATACACATATTTATCGGATGTAAAACAGATAACCCATTATAATCGATTCGATTGTGTAACGCTCAGAGTCCATAAAAAAAGATACTAAAACAACGATATCACATTAGGACACTTGAAAAGATGTCTATCATCGGAATAAAGTATCAATGAGACGTTGTTATTTATTTTGTTGTAAAAAATGGACGAATATTTCTGCGTGTTATACATTTACAATGCCTATACTTAGTATACTCGTATTCAAAAATATCAAAGATAATATAAGATAGGCAATTCATTAGGCATATTCATCATGGCCATTTTTCTTTTAATAATAAATCAATTAAAATTTGAATTTTTAAGTATATTTAAAGTTAATATTTTTAAATACTTATTTTTAATTTTCATATCATTTTTACAGTGTTTTAAGACTGTGTTGAATTAATTTTTTTTTTCAAATGAGAACTACAAAATGAGAACAAAAAGGTTGGTTTTCATTAAAAAAAAATTGTTAAAGAAGTTTCTATAGTATAAAAATCTAGTTTGAATGTTTCATGTAGTTTGATCATAAATCTGTAAATATAATATATTAAAAGTCCTTAAAAATAAAAAATATTAATAAGATATTTCAATTGGAGTTTATAAAATACACTCTAGTTTTTTACTGTAACCATAATACAATAATCTGCTATGTTCTAAAAGAAAAAAATAATAATCGAACCAATATTTTATCAATTTAAACCTATTCAAAGTATTTCATTATATACTTATATAGTTGCAGTAAACACATAAAAGTACTGACTTAATTAATATGCCATAATAACATGACATGTAATAGAACCATCGTGGAGAATTGGTGTGCGAAAACGAGTTGATTTCATAAAAGTAAAAATGAACTTTTAAGTAAGATTACTAATGGACTTGGATGAAACAAGTCTAATTTGGAGAAAATTAGTCCACCGAACTAGTTCATATTTCAATGAACTTTTCAAGAATGTGTTCTATACAATATAATGTTATATACTTGCTATAGGTAAAATTGTTGCGGCATTACTATACAGCTATTACACATAGGAAATATTGGAATGTTAGCTATCACTTGGATCGTACGTAAAACACGCGCCAACCCTGTCGCGTGGTGTGTCGCCGTGTCGGTCGCGACCCCGGGCTCGCGGTGGGGTGTCCGATACACACAAATTCGCTGGTGTCAGCCCTTCAAAATCCGACGGCGGCGACGGCGGCGTCGACGACGACGACGACGACGACGACTAGCACATCGTCTCGGAGGGGGCGACCGACCGGCCGCGCGGAGGCGCCGCCGAGTCAGCAGCTGAGCGGCGCGCGTCAACCGCCTGCCCGTCCCGCCAACGATCGGCAGACCGTCGCCGCAGCTTTCTGGCACCGGGTCCGAAGAAACGCGGTTCGCCGGCCTCACTGCCGTGTACGCGCGCGTGAATTTTGTGCGCCAAACGGAGCTGCACCGCGCCGTACCTACGTCCGTTTAGCCGCAGTCACATAAGTACGACGAGAGCGCAACTCTATTTCCGAAATATATAAACGTGGACGTATACAACGTCACGGCAGCGGCATAATAATACTGCGTGTGTCACCGGGACGGAGACGGCGGCGATCACGTAATCGGTTCACCGTAAGTGTACGATTAAAATAATATTATAATTTACTACGATAATTACGATTGGACCGTTGAAGAGCTCGACTTGAAAATTTACGTAATAGTATAGACTATAGAAGTAATGTACCTCCCTTTCTGATGACGTAGAAAAACACTTTTCGTACCAAACTAATAATGAATTTAGATTTACAGAATATTTTCGAAAAGCTTCGTCTCCTACCCCGCTCCTTTATTATACCCTTAAACACATTACTACAAAAACCAACAATCATTTTATAGCTTAAAATATTTACGCCTTATACTTTAAAAATTTCAACCATGGCAAAGTGCGTAGGTGGTTGACTTATGTAGTTATAGAGATAATTGAGGTAATACTGGTATTTTTTCAAATAGATTACATATTAAAGTATAATTTACATATTTGTATTAAGTCATATATTTTTAATAATATAGTATGTATGAATATATAGTACGTATGTATAAAATTGTTTAAAATATTTGAAATCAGTCCCAAATTATTTTATATTATTATAACGAAAACATGTAGAACTAAACTATAACACCGTAGGAGATGCGTTTCTTAAACTAATCTTTCAACTACATCAACAAAATACATTTAACATTGTAAACAATCAGTATTCATATCTTAATTTGATAAATAATTTATAAATGCGAATAATATTATATTATAAATATAATATCTATAATATTTTTGTCTTGTCTCTTAATGTGGTAACAAAGTTGTAGATCTGTCTTCAACCATGGTTACTTATCATCTTATACCCAATTATTAAACTTAATTTTTACATAATCAGCATATACCACTGTAGGTCTGTACCAAGTATTATGTATGAAATTACATGCTGAATGTATATTATATATATTTTATTTATTTTTTTATAAAAAAAAGTTGTTAATTGTAATTTAACGAGAAATCTTTTACAAAGTATCATTTTTCATTAAATCAGATTAGGAGTACGCTGAAATACCTATCTAAAAATTTAGTTGAGTTACTCAATTCCTTAGATAGTTATTCCAAGTCATACACTGGTCATCGTTGGTATCGTTTCCTCCGTTGTTGGGTTGACGGATTTCTTTTCCCTTCGTGTGTGAAGTGGTGTGTTCGGCATAATAAACGAGTCCTGGGCGTCTGCAGAGAACCTATTTAGAACCACTCCACTAGGTTTCTCTATGAAATAATACCTTTGGACTACATTAAAAAATACGCGTATTATAACTTATGACTTATAGGTATATCAAATGTATTATAGGTAGATAAAAATAACCAAAAAATAAAATCGATTTTGTCTTAATTTACGAAAAATATTCAACAAGAGTTGTTGTTACATTGTTCCTTATTTCATAAAACACATAAATATGCAAGCATTATTTTTTTTATATTGAATTTAGAATTGTAATAAAATATAAGCATGCATGATATGTAATTTACACGAATAGTAAAGTTAAAACCATTTACTGCATTAAAATTTAAAACGTTATATTTAAATGAAAATAAAATATGGGTTTTTCAATCTATTTTGTTAATTGTAAGTTATTATAATATTATTAAAGATCAGTGTAGGTAGGATAAATTTTTATTTTTGTTTTTTTATGAATAAAATATAATTGGCGCTGCATGTTTTCAATAAAATATGTCTAATCATAAGCAATGTCGAATTATATTGAATATATTTCATTCAATAATCAATCTACACGCTCTATATTATATTATATTATAGTTTAACAATTAGAAAACAATATAATTTTACCATCTTTATTCTTTAATTAACTAAAATTCAAACAGGATGCTTGTACAGTGTTCATGTAATGATGATATTTCGAAGAAAGTCTGCATTCTGATAGATCTGTTATCGAATAGGTCACCACCCGTTAGTTTTACATAACATAATAAATTATTAATAAGTATATTATTTACAACATAGTTCGAGTACATACATATATATTTACTTTTTATTTGATTATCCATGGTAGTTAATTAATAACTATGTAAACTTTAATAAAACATTATAACCTATTTTATAATACAATATAAATCTAAAATATTTTCACGATTATTATTATTATTTACCTCAATAGATAGGATACAAAACCAAACAAAATAAATGTGTAAATACTTTTATAAAAAAATGTCAAATTTAAATGACTGTAGAGAGTAACATTATATAGTTATTAATTACTTCATTAATAAAGCTTATGTGTAGTATAATATTTAAAGATATTTAAAGAGCAACAGTACGGAATTTTAAAATTAAAATCAAAGAATTTATTATTACTCATAGTTAAGTATTTATAAAATCATAAATGCACTTATAAAAATGCGTTTTAATATACTTGTATCTTATTACAATATATTAAAGTTCTTATTTTAATTTTTAAAAACTATCATTTACGAGAAAAATAATTGGATCTTTTTCAATTATTAAACAAAATTCAAAAAAGTGAAATTCGCTTAAAGTTTATTAATTTATACATATTTTTAAATTTTAACCGTTGTATCTATATTTATGTTAATTGTTTAATTCTACTAAATATATTTAACCATTTGATACAAACGCTACAACAGTATCTATTAAGACACTTCTAACTTATGTAAAAAGGTATATTTTGAGACGAGAATTAAAATTCTACATTAATTTTATGTATTCTTATTTTATTAATATAATAATATTAATTACGATTTAACTAATGGTCTTTTGTAGAATATTAAATATTAAACTATTTACTATTAATTTTGATCATACAATATAATTCCATACCTACTTATTCAGGTATTAAATTTAATTTTCATTACTTATCTAATCATTTCTTATTTATAATTGAAGAAAGAGGTAATTTAGATATTTTGAATGTGTTATAAGTACTTTATTCTGTTTAAATATATGTACATCAACTTGATTATTTTTACGGAACTATAATGTCTCGTATTTGGGAATTCTGGTGGTAAAGGTCAGTGATACAATTTTTTAAAGGTCACATTGTTTTGTATATTAAACTTTCAAACTAATTCATTATTTTAATTAAATACCTACTTGCATCAAATTCATGTCTTAAGAACTTAAAAACTATAATAATAATACAAAATATATAACGTCTAATGAAAAATAAATATTTATTGCTTCATTTAACAATATAGATACCAAGAAGTCATTTACCAAAATACCTATCAAAATAAATTATATTTAATAACTTATTTAAATTAATAAATACACAAAATACAATAGTTGTATACATTTCGATGTGTATAATTTTTACAATCTATTATTTATAATATAATTGAATTTATTTGAACAATGTGTAGAATAATTCAAATTGGTTAACTTTAGCAGCAAAAAGTTTATTAGCTTTTTGAAAATACAAATTAAGTAGATTGATTAATATTAATTTATTTAATAATTATTCGTCTATAATGCACTAATTTCTACATGAGTTAAAACCTAAATATTTTCGTTCTTATATACTTGTCAAATTAAACTCCAGTACATTTATAAAATATGAAAAATATTCAAGGAAGACTAAAAAAGAATAATAGTACGAATAAAAAAGATTAATATTTAATTCATTTTAATTGTACCTACTTATTTTGTTGTGTTACTCATTAAAATACTAGACAATACAAATAATAATATTATGTCTACATGAATAGGGTTTAATATAAATTGATAATATAACAATACTCCATGTATATTAAAATTAAAAGGAATTAATATTTATCATTTTAAACTTATTTATATAAAAATATATTTTTCTTTTAACACTTCTTATTTTTATTTGATTGAATGTTGATTGTAACATAAATAATCAATATTATTTAATTTGATAACTAACTAGCTAAATTTAAACGTTTAAATATTTTACAATTGTTATTACTGTAATCTAAAGAAATGATTAACATTTACCATAATTATTAATAAGCATGTTAAATTTCTATATGTATATTATAATATCTAAGTTACAATTTCGATACACTTATGCCTGGGTGTTCAAAATTATTTCTGGGACATGCACTCTATTAAAATAAAAAGTATACATTAGACGCAAGCTTCTTTCACGCAAAAACAAAATAAAGTTTGATTATTATGTATTAATTTACAGTTAACTAGCTAAAAACCCTGAGTACGCCCGGAAAAAAATTATTAACTATAAAATACGACGATTGATGTATTTCAGTTTAAGTGTAATGACTTCATGAAAAAATCAGTGAAGTCAATGTAAGTGCATTGTGCACCTTAGTCTATAAAAAAGAAACTTTTAATGTAAATAACATATAATTTAACATGGTTAAATGAGTAGTGCTAAAGAATTTTTTTCTAAAAAGTCACCATAAAACCCGGACAGATGGCGCCAGAGAGTATTCCTATTTCATTGCTTTATTTTCATGGACAGGAATTTGATTTATAAATTTATGTTTAAAATCTGCCAAGTAGTTTGGTCCATGAATAAAATAAAAAATACCCATTTTCATATTTTAATGATAGTTACTGTAAAAATGTTGGCTTAAATTTTTACAATTTTTTAATTTGTATGCAAAAACAGATATTGCTGGGTTAAAAAGTAGATGAGATCATTCCTCGCAAAGTCTTTCATCTGCCTGCGTTAACTCTATCAAAATCAGTAAAACTGTTATCTCGGATGTAAAATCGTTTTGAAATTTGATGACATCTAGGAAAAAACAAAGCTATCGGTAAATTATAGTTGTAATTTAAATAGGTATAAAATTATAAAAATTAATTTTGGGATATATTTTTAGTTAATAATGAATATAATTTGATAATTGAGGATACCTATAATATTTCATAATTAGAAATATAAACTATTATTGTATTATCATTACTTTTTAAGTTTAGAGTTGTCTGTATGACTATATCCTATTTATACACAATTACTAGTATCTAGTTGTAGTAGTTATAAAATTATTAACATGTGAAGTGATTATTTTATTGTCAAACGATGTATCAAGTTATCAACCTATAAATTTTATCCTTACCTACTATCTTACTTCACATTTTTTATAAATTGTTATAGCTGAATATTTAAATATAAAAAGAAATTAATTGATTTATTAAAAGAGATTATATTCTGTGTCTATGTTATTATAATATTACATAAATACAATATATTATAAATATAGTTAGGTATTATTCACAATGTATTATGTTATTAATAACTGATTATATTTATTTAAATCTATTATTAATAATTAATTTACACAGCGATTTTTAATTAACTAAATTTTTCATTGTTTTAACGTTTGTTTGTATTAGTTTAAAATAACGTTGTTGGTTATTGCATGTATTGAATAAAACCATGTTAAATTCATATATTTAATATAAAAACTTAATGTTACAGGATGCCGGATAAAGTGATTGTTTTGAACGAAGGACCACCATGGGGATTCCGAATGACTGGCGGAAAAAATACAGGATCACCATTAAAAATATCAAGGGTAATAACATTTTTTTTAAAAATTTTTTAGTCTGTATAGTACTCTATTTAATAATCTATTAACACCAAACCTTTCATTTTATATCGAACTTAAGCTATTATGGATTAATTTCAGTATCCATTTATTGGCTATTTAAGTTTACAAAGGTAAAGGTGTAGCCATATCGAAAAAAACATCATAGACTATAGTATAAAATACAAATAATAATTTATGATAAATTAAAAATTAAAAAAAATTTATTAAGATATAGTATATTGGTTAAAATATGACCAATTTTTTATGCAACATGCTATAAATATGTTTAGATCCAAGTATATTAATATTAATTGTACTTTTAAATAATTAGGTGTTATTAAAATATCGTATGGATTACTAAATATATAATAACTTGTAATAGAGTAAAAACATTATTGAATAAAATAGAACTATCACTTAATTGCATTTAAAATAAAAAGTGTATTGCTGTTAAAAAATAAGAGCATTGAATTATCTTTATATTTTAAAATTTTTGTTTATTATTGAATGCTATAATTTTTTTTTGTCATTTTAATTATGATACGTTATGTCTAATTTAAAAAAAAATTAATATATAGAATACCTTCTAAAAATAAAACAGAGCTAAAAATATTATGCATAATTAGTTGTTGAAATATAGGTTAACGTTTGAATATTTCTCTGTTCCATTTTTTTTTCAACAGTTTATACCCAAAAATTATACTTAATTTTTCATTTAAATTTATTTCCTGGGTGCTATAATGTATATTACCAAAACATTTTTGTACCAAGCACTTAAATATTTTGGTATACTTATAATGATATTATTGTTGGTTAACAGGCGAGTCTGATGCGAGAAATGTTTGTCTACAAATTTGAGATCAGTCGTGATATATTAGTATAATACATAATAATCAATCAAATACCTCCTAATCCGTCAAATCAAATTATTAATTATTATTATAGTAAACAAATTAGTAGGGTAGGTAGATTCACGTGATTAAAAAAAAAAAAACTCCTAACAACAATAGATAAATGATTTACGATAACAAACGTGATCCTAAACGCGACCACGATATGGTAACTTTGACTTAATATGTATTGTGAGCAATAGTCTCAGAATTGTAGCGAGTGTAACGTTTAATAGTTTAATATAAACATAACTGTTCTAATATAAACGGCTCTATAGTAAATATTTTTTTAGTCTACTTTAATTTGTTGCACTTAATTTAATATCTTCCTAAAAAATTTTAAAGGGGGGTTTTTAAATGCGTTTGGAGGATCAAACCCCTGTCTATTTTCACCTATGTTCGTATAAAGTGTTCACAGATATTTCCTCGACACTGATGTTCGTAGACTCCATAATAATATATACATTGGCTTTGTGCCAAGTTTTCATATAGTGTATTCGAGTGCGGTAAAACTACGAACGCCCGCGCGCGTTCAGGGATAGGTTAAGTCGTATATTATTATATAGAAAGAGCTTGTCGTACCTAGTATAAATAGCACACAGAAAAAATATTTCACTTGTGCGGTGCGCTGCCGCCGTAATCGACGTTGGAGTACTGACAAAACGAAAGATATTGTCGCAGAAAACCATCGCGTATTCTGCAGTCATGCGTGTACATAATAATATTATATTCCTATTGAAAAGATAACGTGCGACGTCATGAATTTTCGATGATAAACACGTGGCTCTTGGCCACTCGAGATTTTCAGTTATATTTTTTGCTCTTTCCTATCGCCGCCATCATCATCTTTGCCCTGATAAACTATTATTTGTTTTGTCAATAACTAATAAAAATTGTTTAACCTTGTAAGTTGTAATATTATAGTTATTCTCTACATACAGGCTTTTAGTATTTTGAAAAAAATAATTATTTTAATCGATTAGTTCCGAATTTCTTCCCGTCTTTCTAATTTTACGAAAATATCCTAAGAACTGTTTGTATTTACGAACAGGCATTTATAACAGTATTAATTCTATTAGCGTTACTGTTTTTTTTAAGCGATAATCACACGAAAAATAGCCAATAAATAAATTGTTTTAATATTGTGGACATTTAATAGAATACTTGAATGTAAATATGATTTAAAAAAAAATACATTATCAACATTTAACTGTTTTTAGTATGCCTAGTTATAACGTGTACATAATATTCCGAAACACTTGTAGCATTCTGATTATGCGTGTGCATTTTTTAGAGCAGTATTCTAATATTGCAAAGCTGATTTTTCTATGCAAAATAATATACAATTTATTATGTATAGTATATTACACTCAATAATAATAAACGTATCCTATTATGTAAATGGAGGAATGATAATTTAAGCTCAAGATGCTCATTAATTTTAAAAATATTTTTCTTTACATAATTTAATATCCTTAATAAAAACATTTCTGAAAAAATAAAATATTTTCGCTATTGTTATAGTTGCAATTTTTATGTTTTACTTTTTACTTTTTTGAACAGTAATACGTATTAATATATTTTTGATTTCACACTCCGTTATACCCAATTTAATATATTTAAAGGTTGCACATTAAAAATTAAGTAGAATTTACTGATTAAATAATTATTTTATTGAATATATTAAATATCAATTAATATTTAATAATATTTGTATAGGGTATTTCTGGACCGAGAGATCGCATGTAAGGCTAGTAGAAAGGCATATGCCTGATATTATTTTTCATGTTTAAAACTCAACCTCTTTTGAAGAGAATGATATGTTTTTATTGTTATGTTTACATAAATAAGTTTGATCTATAGCAGTTTTAAACCCGACGTTCTTTCTGAGACACCTATACCTATTTTTATAATTGATCTATATAATAATTAAATTAGGAAGTTGTTAACTTTTAAATTTATTAAAACTTCTTAAACTAATAAATGCTTTTCTAGCTAAAAACATGCAATATACTAATTTCAATACATTTTTTCGCATTCTCCGATTTTTAAATTATATTTACTTGTAATATAATTTAGTTTTTAATCAATTTCTACTAAATTTAAAGAAAAATCGTGATTTTTTTTTGTATTTTTTAATAAAATAAAAGAATACAAATTAAATTTGACTTTTTTTAACCAATAAATATTAATAAACATTTTGAATAGAATCATGCTAGTATTTTTAATATTTAATTTTAACATTAATCTATAATATTAAATTAATTTAAAAAAAATATTAGGTAGCCATCATTATATTTTTATGACTTTCAAGTTTTTACGAGGACATTTTTCAAAAATTTAGACTACATTTTCATTTCATTTTTGTAATTAATTAAAATTTTTTAGGTCAACTTCCAAGACCTATAATTATTATTACATTAATAATAGCTAGAAAAATTTTAACTGATAACTTTAATTTTCATCTGAATTACAATGTAAGTAAGTGTATAGAATGTAGCATTAGTCTATTTATTATGTTTCTCTGACACATTACATTATGGTAGTTGGTATATTAAGTTTAATTATATATATGAAGAAAATTATAATTTTGTATCAGATATCAAGGACATATTAATATGTGTCGTATTATTATTATCTTTGTGTGTATATTTATTAATTTTTATGCTATTATTGGCATCAGTCATCCCTAGAAATAAAATTGTTAGTTCCAAGTTTTAAATAATATAGAATTTTGTATAATTATTATAACAAGAATTAATATAATTGTATAAGATCAATGAATAATAATATTGTATTACCGAATTGAAATCGATAAAAAAGTAATTGTGCGTATTTGAAACCGTGATATAATTCTTGAAACCATGCAGTCAAGTCCTAGCTGTATTTTAATCGACCGTATAAATGTATAATACGATTATTATTATTTTTTATCAACCTTAAACAGCTATGATGAACTGGTTACATCAATATAATATATTAGTCGTGCGCATAATATACTGAATACAGGTACTGTTATATTTGTTGTTTATGAAAATGTATAGAAATACATTAATTTATGTCATTTAACTATGAATATTGTAAATACATTTTTTGTACAAATACTATATATAATGTGATTCACCAAGCATGTTCATCTTAATTTGTTTTCTTCGATAATTATTAAGTATATTTCAAGACCATATTTTCTAATTATTAAGATTTTTTATAGTGTTTATGGAATATTCAGTGAATATAAAAATTTCTGTTTTTCAAACAAAAACCAGGGGGAGGATTTTTTTACTGTAAATTATTTAACAGATAATATTTCTAGCAATTTGATGAACTTAATACAACTTTTGAAAGAGTAATTTCTCAGTTATTAACATATAATACGGACCTTAAAAATGGTTTTATAAAAATATTAATTAGATGTATAGTTTGATATTTATTATTTAGTATTTATTACATGGAACATTTTTACAAATTATTAATGTAAGTAGATTAATATTATTACTATAATCTTAAAATCCATAGCTCTCATAGCTTTCAAATCTTTCACCTTAATTTTTTTATCGTTATTACACAAAATTAAATAACTTAAAAAAATTTGATTTTGATAACATTTTTCAAAAAAAATTTTCTATTAAACAATTTACAATAGAAATTAAAGATTCTTAATTAAAAAACATGAGTTTTTATTTCCACAGGATACTTTTTTAAGTAGTATAAAAAATCCCAGTCATTTAAAAAGTACGATCTTAATTCATTTTTAAAAATTTCTAAAATATGATTTTGATCTGATCTAACTGTATTATTGAAAAAAGGGGAATATCCTAGTTGGTTTCTTGAATAATAAATATATTCGTATCAAAAATTTACAAAAAAATAATAATAAGTACCTAAGAAAATAATGATTATTAATGATTTAAGTATTTAAAATTCTTGTAATTTAATAAGAAATAATATAATATGTGTACTACAACTATGATAATTAAATAATAAATTCAATGGTATATTTACGCATCTATTGATAATATATTTTTCTAACTACATTTAAAGCGAAAGTTTTCGTATTTTAATATGCTAAAAATAAATTTGTACGAGAAAATTTTGTATGTCGCGTAAAATTGCAGAATAATATAGTTAGTTCATAAAATTCTGTTGTGTGTGCTCTAATATAAAAATTACATACGCAATTTGTTTTAAAATTTTTATTATTATAAGTTGTATTGTATGAGTGATATTTAATATTATTAAATCTATTAGTAATGTTATAAATTATAATTAAAACAACTAAAACCACCAAGAAAATATTATGCCTATAGAACTATAATTTAGAAATGTAAAAATAATAGAGTGAAAACCAAAATAAGTGTTTATTCTTTAATAATTTTTTAATTTTTAATTTTTTGCTGAATTTTCAATTAAATAATGAAATAATGATAAATTATTTAGTTAGTTTAGTAGGGAAATTTTTTAACAAAACGAGTTTAATTTGCAGATAATATGATGATCTTATAAGTTACTGAAGATTGAGGTATGAAAAAAATTATTAATGAATACTTATTTGAAATAATATTAAAATTTTAGTACCTACTCTATACTCATAGTCAAAAATAAAAAAAAAGCCAGAAAAATGACTTACACTGTGCATATCGATGAACTTATTAACTTCAAAAACGTAAGTTATAACATAAAATATTACGATGATTTTATTGTTTGTTGCATATTGTGGTGTGGGTTAGTATTATTGATACGAACAATTTCGTTAAGTTACACTTATTATGTCATAACTTATTACATACATGTTTATTTTATTTAGTTTACTGATCATTCATTACAGTTTTTTAAGAGCTTTTTAAAGATTTTTTTTTAATTGATTTAAATTTATTTAAATAAAATAGTTCACATCGTTATTTTATTAAACAATAAAAACAGTTCTGACGAATGGAGTTTATTAAATCAAGGATATTTTTACGGATTAATTTAAAGATTTACTATTTACATAGATTTAAAAAACTTACGTTTTATGTACAATCATAAATACATACATTTAATGATTACTATATAAAGTTCAAAATAACTAAAAAGTAAAAATTACAGTTAATGTGAATATAAAATTGTTTACTTTAATTATAAGTCTCTATAATTATAACAGTGGTTTAATATTAAAGTATCGCTGAATATCCTGCAGCACTGCATGAGTGCATGACTACGAGTATATTATGTATCTACGGCTTTCACTACGATATCGGTCGACAAAGGATTGTTTAGGCACACACGTAGTTTTTATAATATCGTCCATTACATACTAATCGAGTGCAGGGCTGCAGTACTAACGTACTGCACGTGTGCAATACGGTAAATTAAAATTATGCTTATTCTATGTTATTATGTAAATAATAATGATATATTAGATATTATTGGTATGTACCTTATACAACGTCCCACATATTATACATGAGTTTCGATCACACCTCTTGCGATAGTTAATAATTATTTGCATTGAAAAAGAAACGGAAAACAATTCCCAGTAATGTCTTCGCCTATGCCCCGCGGATAGTATACCTAATACTGGTCGCAGTCTAGTCCCTCTACACTTAATACATGATTATATTATATTATTATTATTATTATTATTATTATTATTATATGGTGTTCAAGGCCTGCCGGTCGCATTCCATTACGGTTCATTTGCCCAAATATTCCATTCTTATACCACCGCCGCGGTCATTATTACATACCACGGCTAAGATGCTGCAACCACTGCTATCAATGGTTTTTTTCTCATTCTTCCTTCCTTCCTATTACTTTTGCCTTTTATGCTCGACCCACCGTAGATGATAATAAGAATATTGTGTCCGACGCAAAATATTTATTATATAAACATCATCAGTATTTCTTCACGATTAACGCCGTACATACCTACGACGCAACTGTTGTGTTTTTTTACTTTTCCAATTTTACTCGTTTATTATAATAATAATATTGTCATCATAATATACCTATAAAATCGATTGGAGCCTATTCTTTTTATAATTTTTTTAGTTTTTCTTCGTCCCGTTAGATAAATACTTTCATCATTATTGTATCGCGTTTCGATATAATTTAATATATTTTTATATAGTGATATGATTGCGTATACATAATATTTATATATTTTTGATTATTATTATATTATATCGTTCTATCTGCGTTTTCAGTCGTATTTTAAATGCTTGTCGAAACGGTATCCGATGCACACGTGCATTTCCATTATTCGGCTAGAAGGTTCAGAGACGTATTGTTGGCTAACATTTTAGCGACTCAAAATAAAAATAAGGTACCATTATTCTTACATAGTTTTATATAGATGCACTAATTAAAACATTAGCGGAGTCACCAATATCAAAATCATAAAAACGGTTTGATTATTCTTTGCCAATCTCAAAATTAATTTTATGGCAAAAAACAAATCGTAGAAACTCTTGTTAAATAATATTAAGTACCTAAGAGTTTATTAAAAATGAGGTAAGTACTATAACTTGTTTAAAAAAAAATAATATGCTCATGAATCCTAATTAATGAAAATAATATTATTACAAAATGTTGACAATATTTTAACAATCAACATATTATATAATTGAAAAAACGAGAAATAAATATTTTTACCTTACAAATGATTAGGTTAGGTTAGATTGAACTGCATTCTTTCTATATTTAATGAGACTTAATAATTATTTTGTTGGTATATCTGAGAAGAAATAATACCTTCATCCCTTAAAAAAATTCAGGAGGGATGAGAGCCCTCCATAATTATGCTAATATTTATGAATATTTTCTATACATGTTACTTAATACGTGTAATGGATAATATTAATGATTGGTATGTTGTTTATTAGTATTATGCTTTAGGATACATGGGTATGTAAATTAGTAATAGTCTACGTCAGCTAAGATTCCAAACTTAGTAGTAGTCCATGAATTTTCTTGTATAAACACTTTTGAACACTAATGATTTTATATAAATAAACATAGTTACATATTATAGTTATTAAAAATAGAAAATAAAATTGTATACTATTGATTCTTTAAAATAACTTCACTGATCAAAATTTATTATATTTTTTTATCTTCTCGAAACGATCATAATTCATTGTCAGCAAATGCTTGTAGATTTAAAGTATTAATTAAACTTCAATTTTACCAGCGTTTAAATAATGAAAAATTTGCTGTAAGAATATGCTAAGATATTGAATATTTGAAATTTGTTGTGAAAAAAGAAAACTATCTGTAACATATGTTTGTTCAACGTACAATACTTGCAGCGCATAAAAATTTTAATTTGGCTAAAATGTATTATTGTTTAATTTTCATCTTAAAAAATTATATTACATATATATATTATATATAATAAATATTATTATTTTAATAAATTATCTTAAAGGTAAACAAAATGTTAGGTTAATAACTAATAATACATTGTAATAAATTGGTACAATATAACTATAAATAAAAAAATCTTAAATGTAAAAATATGAACTTAACAATATTTAAAGATTCTTCTAATTTCGACACTAACTGTTTAAACTAAAATATATTATTTTATTGTAATTTAATATATTATTATTTATTACATATTATTGTACATATTTAGTACGTATAACTATTTGAGGGTAGTTTAGAATTGTTTTTGTAAAATCATAGAAAGGCATAAATTATTTTTTACATATTTGTAACTAAAATGAAAAAAAGTAAGTTGATATAGTTAGTAGTTGATACTTTTGCTGTACTCTGTATACATATGCCACACTAACATTTAAATACTTTAAATACACTACACGGTGTTTGTTATGTTTTAATGAATGGAAAAAAAGCTATAAAGTGATAGTTGTTTAAACGAGTAATTAGTTATAATAACGAGTTTAAATTTGCTAAACTTATTATTTAAATTATTACATGTAATTATTAAAAAAACATTCATTCTGGTGATACTATAATACAAAAATTTTATAATACAATATAAAATTCAAGTCCATAAAAAAAATAATTTTGTATAAGTTTATTTTGAATTTAAAAATGTATTGATTCAATAATTTTTTAAGATTGTAGAAATTGGGGCGTTTCCGAGGATCTGTCAAATATCACAACATTATGACATTATCCAATTATTACATGATAGTCTTTACCATAGTCACATGCTTTCAGTTCCGTTCCGTCTTCTACTACAGTTATAAAAAAATGATCATATTATTCGTATTTAGAATTAACTGTATTTTTTCTCATTGTTGTATGATTGAATAACGTTAGTAAATTGAATAACAGCTTACTATTGTGTGTTTGTTGAAGACAGAATATACATATACGATGCTCAAATTTCGAAATAAAAAGGAACAAGTTAAATAATCGTTTCGTAACTTGAATTTTTAATTATGTATTTTCAAATAATAAATTCCAAAAAAAAAATAAAAATATTATACTCAATATTTTTTTTACTCGTGTCTGAATAACTCATATGGTACATAATCATAACATTTACATTAATATACGACAGACTTAATATTGAAATTTAAATAATTTATACTAGATTTTTATAATTTATTGGCCTTATTAGCCATTTCAAGATTAGTTAATATTAATGTAAATATAATCTGTAAGAACAACTAATATAAAATATAATTTAAATGTAAACACGATGTTTAGTATACAACATGTATATTATTTTAATTATACTACATTATGTAAATTGTATGAATTCAAAGATAATATAGTGCAATTATCAATTTGTAATTATTTAATTTTGTACACAAAATAAAAGGTATGGTTAATAGCTTTAATTATTATTTTACAGGTCAACAGTGCAGGGAAAGCAGCAAAATCTGGTGTACGAGAAGGGTTTTTAATTGAATCAATAAATTCAGCGTCTGTTGATCACCTTACATCTAATGAAGCACAAGCATTAATTAGAAATTCCGGAGATACGTTAACTATAGGTGTTTATCGGTAAGTATAATATATAATTGATTAAAGTAATTTTAGCTTGTAGTTTAATCTATAAACTACCATCAAAATGCGAAATACTTAGTTATAAAAAGGTTTCGAAGATATTCTTTTAAGATTGTATCCTTATTTGGATATAAGTAACACCATCATTCTTCTTGGAACTGGTAAATGCTCAGGGAGCAAAGAATGTATATTTTACAAATTATTTATTTTTTTTAGTAACACGTCAAAAAACTTTGATTATTTTTATCTATAGAAATATGTTTAGATCAACAAAATTTTGTTGGTAGTTTAATTTTCTGGTGGCCATTTAAACAGGCGTAGGATCTCTATTTATCACTATGGATAGTTAACCAGTTTCTACTTTTGCTTGATGTTTGAATAATAGTTACAAAGCTATTCTATCGTATTTATTGTCTATGAAATATTATTTTTTCATCATACGATAGTATAGAATGTATCATCCTCTCAATATTGTCAAAATATCAAAGGTTCTTATGTTCTTTCCATCATTCCTTACTTTTTGATAATTTTCTTATAACCTTATTTTATTAAAATTCTTATAACAAGTGCTGTAATGTACAAATTTTGTTATTAAATTAAAAATTTAAGTGAAATTACTTTTAATTATTAAGTTCTAAAGCATACCAACTTAAAAAGCTATAGGATATAAAAAATAAATATAAAATACATTTTTATCAGACAAATATATATTGAAATTATAATAACAAAATAAAATATTTCTAACTAAATATAAATTATATTTTCCCATCAAATTATTATTATTTGTTAAAAATAGTTTTGAAAGTTTTAATTTTGATTTACTATTTTATATATGAGATAATTTGTTTTAGAATTGTTGACATAATAATATACAAACAAAACATTTTGCGCCTGAAAAATACAATAATACAATACATCTTACTTATAAACATAGTTTTCGTAATAATGTGCATGGAAGATGTAACCACTTTTATACTACTAAAAAACAAATTGTATTAAATGTTTTTATTTTTTTTTCAAAAAAATAAAGTTTTTAATTATTATCTTATATATAAAAAAGAAATTCCCAGTTTTTCTCTTTTTTAAACATGGTTTATTATCTTATAAAATAACTCGCCTTTATCATGGTTAAATGGTTTGATAAATATAAATATATTGTTTGAATTTAAAAAATAGATTTTAACTACCTACTTATTAATGTACATTTAATTTTTTTTTTTTTTAATTGTTGTTTTAAAGTCTTATTTTTTAAGAATTGATTTTAAACATTCATAGCAGCGTGAATGTTAAATATTAGAAAAAATAATGGAAATAAATAACTAGTACGAGTATTTAGACTTTCAAGTAAAAATCATTCATAACGTTTATTTTAATCAAATTGTTTATTATGTAATATGTCAATAGCTAAATTATTTTGCAACAATAATACTTTATACAGGTTAAATTAAAAAAAAAAAATTATTTTGGGTGTTGACCAAGTATACTTATATATGTTCTGGACTGTTAACCCCACGCCCATCCTGTACATTATAATAAAACCACTATAATCATGATAAATCTCGATGCTTTGGTAAGACACACCTTTTTGACGTTACACATGATACTCAATTTTCAAATCCACTGAAATTTACATATTATTAATAGGTAAAAAAAATTTAAATATTTATTACTCTTATTGAGTACCTATATATCGACTATTGTTTTTTTTAATATTATCAAACGGCATGTACAAAATAAGAATATTTTGGGATTTTGCAATTATATAGTAAATTATAATTAATTACACATATTTTATTGAAGCATTTTAAAATTGTTTAAGTACTTAATGAACTGATTTCATGATAATCTAAAAAAAAATTATTCAAATAATTATTAGCTTTAATACAGGTGCTGATTCATTGTTATCTTTAGGTACATATGATATTGTTATGTATGCATTTTTAATACAATATTCCCTAATTAATTTATAAGTTTTATATATTCTAATAATAACATTAATATAATAATTTATATTTGACTATTTTTAAATTGATATGACTAATTAATTCTCACCCGTATACTTGTAACTTGTATAATGTATACAATATACATACTATATTATCTTTGTAGTATATTATGTATTTTTTACGGGTATAGATATTTAAAAATAACCCGTTAATTAAACAAAATTTTTCAAATGGGGGTTTTCAAATTAAATTTATGAGCAAGTGGAGGCAAAATAATAAATAAAAATCTCAACTTGTCATATACATGTTATGTAATAGATATAACTGAGGTATTTAATGAAATACAAATAAACATTCATTATGTAATTACGCAAAGAGTATGCATATCATATATTATATAAGCACATTAAAAATAAATACATTTATACCTTAAGGTTCTTCTTTTGGCTTTAACAGTACTGTATGACTATTACACACATGACACCGTAGAAGCATGGTAAAAGTACTTTTAGCCTATTAATATTTTTATTTTTTGTACCTGCTATTTTTTAATACTAAATGTTAGTCGGATTAGTCACCCCGGTAGAGAACATTATTGATTAGACATGCCACTGATTTTTAGGGTGTGCTTCATGTTTACGTACTTTTTGACACGTCATAATACAAATATATATAAATCAAAATAAAATCATGATTTATTTTTAAATAATATAAATTATTTTCTTATTTTAGATTTTTAATACAATAAAACAACTTGATATAATTTTTAAAGAATGAATCAAAAATATTGATTATACTATTTATAGACAAAAGCAGAAATTGCTGAATTTTTTATTGGGTTAAAGAAAAATGTTGAAATAAATACATGGAAGTAATGCGATGGTCATAACTTCTCAGAGTGGGGGATTATCTCCCCATATTTATGAAAATATTTATTATTTGTCCCAATGATTACACATATTGATGAGATTAATATTATTTGTTACCATAAAAATATTTTACTAGGAATTATAATAATTATTTAAATGATAAATAACTGGAGCATGTTAGCACACAGTAAAAAACCGGATAAATAAATATTAAATTTAAATATATTATAGGACTGAAAAAAAAGTATATTTATAGAAACTTTTTTTATTTTTACATCTTGTTTTGTTTTTCAGTTATAGATTATTTCATTTAATTTTGCAGTCAACTTTATGCTTAACATTTTAAATTAATTATTATCCACGTCATGGTAATAACAGTTATATTATTGTTATTTATTAATTTAAATTTAAATTAGGTTAGTAGCTAAATATATTTTATTAATCTGAAGAATATTTTTTACTATTAAAAATACGATTTTTATTTAGATAAAGTTTAAAAAACAATTTTTTTCCATACCTAATAGGAATAAATAAAAATATTTCAATAAATTGGTCTTAATATATTATAATTTATAAATATACACAAGGCAGTATAGCATGTACCTCGTTAAAATCCGATTGGAAACGAGGATATACGGTGCAGTGATTACTTTTTTATACACATCACTATATAGGCTTTTTTTGTATAAAATATCATTATTCTTTATCGTATTAAAATAATAAACATATGCGTGTTAAAATTTAAAAAAAAGCCCATGACATAATTTAAATCTATTCGACATTGAATAATATATTGCACAAATTATGTTTTAGTATAATATAATATATTTTATTGTTATATTCTATAAACTATAGAATATAAAGTATTTTATTATATAGGAAATAGCAACGTCACCTATACTAAAAATAATGTTTTTCTTTAGTTGTTTATCAATTTTAATTACAATTCTTTAGGTAGCTGATGATAGTATACATGTTAAACGTTATCATAAAAATGTAATAATAATTTCTATTTTTTACAGGCAATCAAAGTCCAATATTGAAAAGAACAAACAAAGACATGAAGCTGGTAATATTTTTTCTCAATTTATTATCATTTGCAATTTAACACGCCAAACTAAAACCTTACTAATTGATTTCTCTCTAAAACTAAAAAAAACTATTCCCTTTCATATAGTTTCACTTAATTATACGTGATCTCGTTCTATTTAGTTCACATATTTTTTTACAAACTTTTAAAAATAGAAATAGAAAACTTTACCTACTTCATCACATTTTTTTATTACTATAAATACATTTAAATTAAAAATAAATCATTGGAAATTATGACGTATCTTGGAATATATTCATTAGTTTTTAAATTATTATTTATTAATTGAGAATAATATGTAAAATTGAATAAACTATTAAATAGTGTATATTATTATATTTGATTTATTCAAGTCATAATTACGTACAAAATAAATTAAGTACTAAAATAATGAATGTTATTTAAAATTCTTAGAATGAAAAATTTCTAACAACAGATATATTTATTTTGAAATTATAATATTAATCTCTTTTTTGATTTGAAAAATTGTATCAAATTATACAACTCAATAAGTATTATACCAATGATTCAGTACAACTTCTATGAAATTTTATCATCCAATTTAATTATGTTAAAATACATATTTTTCAGTTATGAATATATTTTATATTCTTTAATATTTTCTTCTTTAATGGTAATAATATATCATAATATAAAATATATTATATTTTTTTGTTTGCTGGCCCATATGTATACAAATGTAGGCCATAAACGTGTCTTTAAAGTATTCGGCACTTGAGAAAAAAATCAGCCTTATCTAATATGAGTGTGGCCGATTTTTCGACAAGTCTTTTAGTATGTTATCGACGGTCCAGTCGACCGTAACAGCACCCCACCGGAGTATTATTTCTCAAGCACCATCATGCGCCTTCAGATAATCTTTACCGATGAAAGTGAACAGTTTATTTTAGTGTTTTGCATTCTTTGATAATATTCGTTAATATGCGATTTACATTTAGATATTGGTGTATTGATCATTTTTATTTTCTGTGTCCCAAAAATTTAAATAACACTACAATGCCTGAGTATAAAAGTACAAAGTCGAGGTTAAAAGACAAATACCATAGGCCTAATAAGCTAAGAGGAAAAATAGGTAAGAAATATATATTAAATGCAACCAAAAAAAAAAAATTAAAAAAAATACTCTTTACATTTATAGTTAACCTCAAAATCGTTTAAATTTTTATTAAATTTACTATTTAAAAGTATTTTACTTAGTGGTCGAATTAAATATTCCCAACAGTTCATATTTAATGTTAATAAATGTATACATTTTTATCATTTTTTAATTTTAAATATTATTTATTTTGTTTAAATAATATATTTACACAACTAAAAATATTTTACTAGAGACTTATTATAAAATTTTTACTCTGAATATGTATTAAAAAAAATATTATTTTATATAGTTGGATATTTTTGTCTTTTTAATCAATAAATCAGTATATTGAAATATATATAAAAATAATAAATTTAAAAAAATAAAGTTTAAAATCTTGTTAATAATATAGTTTTAAATTATAACAAATTCCAATTTATAATAATCAATATATCAATGTCTATTAATTGAATTATTGTAAAAGAGCTTATAAAAATACAAAATACAAGTATATGTATGATTAAGTGCTTAAAAAATTTCTAGATTTAATAGTGAAACAATTAACTATTGTAATCTGTATAAATAATCATATTTATTTTTAAAATGAAATAAATTGTGTTTATGTTATAATATTAAAATTAAAAATTAGGATGTAAATTTAATTTGAAAATAATTATAAATAAGAGTAAATAATTACATTTTAAGATTTTAGAAGAAATAAAAAAATTACTTTTTGATAAAGTTTGTTGTACCTCAATGATAAGTAGTTTTTTGTTAAAAAAATTGAAAGTTTTTTTTTTTTTGTTTTAGTAATATAAGATGTATAATTTGTACTATATATTAGCTTTGTAGAATATAAATGGAGTATAGGCTCTTTTAGTTCATATTCTTACTATTTGTAAATTTTAAAAATCCCATTAATTTCTGATAAGTTTACCTAAGACCTTCATCAAATCAAATTAAAATTTTATTTATACTTCTAATTAAAGAATTTAAATTATTATTATTTATCCGTGAGCTTAGCTTTACAAAAATAGGCCTTGCACGTCACTCCACCCACAGGAACTACACCCATCCTGTCCATAATTGGACGATTAGTCTCAATAGTAAATAATATACAAGTTCTAAATATAAAATATGTAAGCAAGACAAGTAATAATGTGATATGTTTTTATTATTTAACTATCTTTTAGATTATTAAACTTAAATAACAAAGCTATTTGTTTTTAATTTTTTAATTACTTAATAACTATTTGCTAAAAAAAATTTTTATATATATATATATATTTATACAATAAACAATAAAATAATAATAATCATTAAAAATATATAGGATGCTATAATTTGTAATCTAATCATAAAACGATCTAAGGTGTCACTCGACCATTGAACGATTTGACAGACTGGAGGTAGTTAGATACTTAACTTAGTACTTAAATCACTTTAATATTTGTTTTTATACAAATTAAACAAGAATTTATGACCATATAATAGTCGTATAATAATTAGGTCTTGTATATAATTATAAAAACTTAATTTCTTTTATAAAACAATTTTTTAATATATTTCATAGTTTACCTATTAAACCTTAGCAAACACTTCATTGTATTAATAACATACAGCTATAATAATGGGATATTTGATTCTTTTAGATATACATTATACATATACATTAGGTATACATATATTAACCACCCCATATGTGCAGTTCCGTTGACCTGTGTCTATTCGTCTGTCATCCTTTTCATTGTGCGCATGTGTTACTAACAAAAACACGCGTACATAAATTAATGACTATTGTACGTGTGTGCGTTTGTAAATAATGAGTCTGTGTGTGTTAACCCATCTCCGGTTTTTGATGCTATATGTTACTTCCTCTATTCGGCGGGTGTGCCCTATCCAATCTGTGCTCACATAGCGGATCTACCACAGTCAGTCGATGATGCTGAACACTATTGAACAAACATACTTCACTAACCGCTTAATAAAGTCCAATATTGTATGTTAGATAAATTACGAATATTTTTTAAAATTTTGTTGTTTTTATATTAATATATCTACATAAAATAAATTCCGGACTATTATTGTTACAGAATCTAAAGCAGGTGTGGAAAAAAGTGAAAAACCAAAACCGGTCGAAACAGAAACACCGAACAAAAAAAGTGAGTAAAAACAAATTTTATAATATGTTATTTAGTCAAATATTAGTTAAATACTAACACAATACCTATTAGGATTGAATGTGAGTAACTTCAATAGTGGAAGTATATTTTTAATTTTATTCAAATGTACCTAGTTAAATATTTTTTAAAACTACACTATTAACATAATTTTGTTTCGATTTTATTTTAAACGTAGTTATATAGTTAATAATAAAATAACTTATTAGTAACAAATTTAAAGTTAATCTCGTAGCTCAACGTAAAAGTAAAAAAATAAAAGATAGTCCAAAATATATAATATTGCCTATAGGTAAAAGAGTACGAAAGCGTAGGAGAAAAAAGAAACGTGCAGACTCTCCCGAAAAATTAAACGGTCAACTTCCTGAAACTTTACCAGATAAAATAAAAGAACAGACTCAAGAAATAGCACAAGTAACAGAAAGTCCAAAAATACAAATAATATCAGCAACTTCAGATTTGCAAGTTGATGAGTTAGAATGGATCAAAAAAAATGAAGCACTCTTAATAGCTGACTTAAAAACACGTCAACAAGCTGGTTTACCAATTGAAGTAGTAGTCAGAGTTGAAAAAATTACACCTTCGGTACCAGAATATTGTCAAATTATTCCAGACTTTTGCCATTTGGATGTTATTAGAGAGGAAACAAGTGCAAGCGATGATGACCCTAAAAAAGAAACTTTGGAATGCTCCGAAAAAATTAGAAACAAGAAGAATTTTAAAAAGTCACCTGACGATTGGGGTTCAGATGTCAACGAAGAAAAAAATAACAAATTAAAAAATAATTCTAGAGTAAATGCAAGTGAAACTATTTCTTCAGAATGTCAGCTCGAAAGACTAAAGTCCCCGTCTTTAGTCAGAGAGTCGGAGATTCTTAGATTTGCAGATATTGTTACTACTGAAAACGAATGTGTGGTTGATTTAGAAACACTTGAACCGTTAAATGTACATAATATAGAAAAAAATGAATGTATTGACAGGGAAATACGTAGTATATCAAACAAAAATAATTTGATTAATGAAAAACATAAAAACGATTACACTGTAAAAGATGAAAAAGTTGACAAAAATCCACTACAACACACAAAAAAAAAAAATAATTGTATAGTTGTAAATGGTAATAATAATAGAAAAAATCAATTCATAACTAATACATTACTCGATATAGAATCATGTGAAGATACGAATGAATACTTTCAAGATAACTCTATTGAAGTTGATTATCAAGATAAAAAAGTGAAAAATTTGGATGTTTTAAATACAAAAAGTCAGTTCATTAATTGCTCTGCTTCAACTAAGCTTTCAAGTAAATCAAATATGAAAAATGATAATGAATCCTTAAAAAGTGTTTTTAATAACTATCAAAAGAATATGGAACACGAAGAAGAGTCTTCAGATGATAGTACTATAAAACAATTTAAAGCATACGACCATAAACACAAAATACGTAAACAAAACAAAGTTTCCATTCACGATAAATTAAAACAAATCGCTAGATTACTTCAGGATGATACCGATGATTATGAAGAAATACAATCATCACAAACAACTTCTAGATGTGTTTCAATAGCTTCTGATGCTGACGTTGACACTGATTGGATAAGTTTTACTCTATCTGACGGCGAGTCATCAACATCTTTATGCCTATCGCCTAGTCAATCGAGATCGTGTCACGCTCCGTCCACTACTTCTAAAGCGTCTGCAATTATTGACCTGCACAAAAAATTTCTTAATAGAACAAGAAGTCCAAATTTATCTCCACGTCAAGATATAACACCCACAGTTGATATTTTAAGTTATAACAAATCGCAATCACAGTCGTCTTCAAAGTCATATAGTTCTGAAGTTTTTGACGAAGCGTGTCGAATGTGCGGTACGAGTGACGAACCATTATCTGATGCTGAATGTCTAGTATCTTTGCGCAAGTATCGAGAAACACGATCTAGGTTATTGGATGTAATCCAAAAAGAACAACAACTTAATCGATCAGTCATCGATCGACCGTCATCAATGCCTACGTTTATGGACACGCTGTCGTTTCCCGACAATCAAACAAGGGAGCTCATGTACGCGGAGTACATGGAAAAAGTGAAAGAAAGAGAAAATCGACTTCAAAATAAAGTTATTAGAATAACAAAGGCCAGTAGACCGTTATCATCAGGTACACTGCAATCATTAAATGATATCGATGCAGAGTTTGTAACCAAAGCTCGTGAGAGGTTGGATAAGTTAGGTGTCGAGACAGATGTGCATATAGAAGTGAAGGATGAATATTATCCAAAACACTTGGTGGACATTGTACCGGAAGAAGAAGTTTGCATCGAAGAAGTGCACATGAATGGTGAGTCAAGTGGATTGAGAGTGTGTGTACGTTTTTGTTTTATTTTATTTTACTAACACGGTTTTTGCAGTGTGGCCAAGTCTAATTACGTTACTTCGATACGAATCAGCAGAAGAAATTTCTAAAATAAGCTGCAAATATCCATCGTTCTGAACGTCTTACAGTGATTTTTGTTTTCATAAATATATAGTTGTCAGTTGTGTGAACAGTTGATGCCGATACAATTTGTTTAAGACGTGTATACATGCGTACGAACACCCCACACACACACAAACACATAGGCATACACACACGCACTCACAAACTTTGTGGCACTATTTTTATAAATGGTATACGACACGTCGGACGACTGGACAGACCAAATTCTGATTCTATAATTAAAACAGAGTAGAGAGAGGTGAGACGAAACCTTACACGATTTTTCTGCATACGGTGGAATAGCAAAATAAACTTAAAAATATGAGAAATATAGAGTTTATACTTTAAGGTATAATGAAAATTACTAAATAATATTAATAACCGATACAGTTAGTTTATACATTATGTATATATATATATATATATATATATGTATATTAAATTTAGGTACCTCTACCATATCAAAGCAATTTAATAACGATAGGTACATATTATTTTGTTTAAAATTTGGTTTTTTAAATTTAGTCAGAACAAATAACAAAATATCTAAACGAAAGACATCTAGTTGCTCACTTCTAGAGGAAATCGATCAAGTTTTTGGTGGATTTTTGACTAAAAAAAATATAGGTTGGTTGATATACCTAAAATGTTTGCTTACAAGCATGCACAATGTTACGTATTAAGTCTGTGCGCATGTACTCGTAGCGTTTTGTGATTGGTCCAAATAAACGTTAGATATTGTCTATTCACTAAAATAAAAAAAATTATTAATTGATTATTCGTAGAAATAAATTTTTTTTTTAATTTATCAATATTCATGAATATAATTTTACAAAACTATTAATAATCTACAAAAAAAAACCATATTATAACGTGTATTATTTAGCATAAGTATATAATGAAAAATAGACTATATTTAATAGATTATTTTCTAAATATTTATAATACTTAATGATAAAAAAAATAATGTGATAAGTATCTACAACCTATATATGTTATTATCTAAAAATTATAACAACAAACTGAAATATAATGATAATATAGTTTGTTGAAATTGTAAATATTCCACAAAAAATATCATAGCTATGTAAGTACAAAATCATCCATTAAACAAAATATTAAAATCAGTGAAGTTTTTAAAAATATAATTTAAATTATTAAAATAAAATGAAACAAAATAGAACAATATTATAATCGTAGGTAATGCATGACCTGTGCTCGATTATACCAATATTTGATGGATAATACTAACTAATATATAATTATTATAATCAACTATAAATAAAAATTATAAATGCTTCATATGCAATACTAATACTGAAATAATTTCTTAATAGGTATTTACTTATTTTACGACTTTGATGTTACTATATGTTTTTATAAATTATTTATTAATTACTTACTATTTTTAGTAAAATACTTAATTGAGATATGTAAAATATATAAAAACTTGCTTATTAATTAAATCTGTAAAAATAAAAGCTCTTAAGGTTTTAAAAAAACTTAGGCAAATGATATTGATTAACAATATTATAAAGAGTACAAACATTAAAAACATTGGTAGGTGAATATAAATTATGTCGTATCTATATTGAAAATTTATGTTTGATTGTTTAAGTTGTACAATACAGATTTATAAAGTATAGTTTCCAATTAAGCCTTGATTTTCAAAGGATTTATTTTAATAGAATTCAATTACATTAATTCGTCCAAAAATAATTGTATTTGTACGTTGTATAAATATTATGTAAATAAGCGAAAAACAAAATTTTACATTAAGCCTCCGGTAAATCTAATAATAAAACAGGTGCCGTCTGAAAGTCGGCCACCGTTGGAGTTTCAAAGATCATTAGCCAATATTTTTTTTTTTTCATTATTTTTATTTATACAGTATATTTTTATGTTCATTTTTACTCCCACCCGACAATACTCTAACAGAATTCCCGCGGTATTTAAAAAAAAATAGTAACGCGCACACTATTCAAACCGACGCCGAATCGCGCGCGTGGCAAAAACGTTCGTCGCATACCGTTAAATTTTGTTTCCGGTGTTTTTTTTCACTTAAATATCAACTGTGTTTAAAAATTATTTTTGGTTAATTTATATGAATTAATATATACTATATAATGCGAAATAAAAGCAAAATAAGTCCACAGTTCAGAGCTGACACTAAAAAAGCAGGTATGCCGTATGCTATTTAATTTATTAAATTTATTATTGAAAAGAAATACCAAAAAAATTAAATTAATCCGTACTTAGTCAATCTCACGAATATAATTCGAATTAAAGCTTTAATTACTAACCTAAAATAGTGTGGTTAAAATAACCAATAATTATGTATAGATTCAAACTATTCCATTAATATTTTGATTGTATATTTTAAAATATGTGTACTACAATGTGTTATAAAAAATTATCAGTTATTAAAACAACCAACAATACGAAATTAATTTAATAACAAATAAGTAGATAGGTTTGGTTTCTATTTCTAAACATAGGTAAAAATAATTATTTCTAATAACAATTTTAATGAGTAGGTATTACTAAAATAATTGTTTTAATATTTTATCGTTAACAAATTTTTTTAACCTAACCTAACCAGGTTGTCATTGGTTTAGTTATTTAAATGAATTTTTTAATAAAATCCGCCAAAACTATAGTATTTAGTTCATAAGAATCACCTAAACCTATAGTAGTGTAAATTTAACATTAAATTATATGATATTTGGAAAAATTGTCCTTTAGAAAGTATTAAATTATTTAAACTTGTATAAGTTGAGTATTATTAAGATATATAAACCATCTATTCATTTTACATATACCTTTATACTTTAAAACATAGATCATGTTATGTAGATACAATAAAATATTAAATATATTTAAATATGGTGTAAATCAATTTGCCTAGACCGTTTGCCGTGTTACTTATTTATAAAAATAAATGTATTTTTAATTATTATCATAATATATAATATATTATTAAATCATAATGATTGAGACAGTATTAATATATTTTATAAACACTTATAATTTAAATTTATTGTTAAAATAAAGCAAATAAGATATCTTATTTTTTATGTACATATTGCATTAAAATTCTATCTCTACATTTATTTTTAATAACAATTTGAATAAGATATTCTATTTGTGAAAAAAAGAATATGTTGAGTTATGTAAATTTTCAACGGGATAAAATCCATTTTTAATGGAATTTAAAAAATCGTTATTTTATGTAATAAATCGTTTTTTTTTTTTTGATGAAATTTTTATTCGTAAACATAATATGATTTCAACATTTATTGATGTTTTATAATATCATCAATTGAATAATATTAATACATAAATTACCTATTACTATTGTAATTTTTTTGTTGGAAAATCATTTAATATAATTTCTACATTCTACAAATAAAATTTAAATATAATTGCTTTTTGTTGATTAAAATACTAATGTAAACATATTATATTTCTGTAGTAGCTATTTTTATAGACGGTTAAGAATTAAATTGTTGATGATTCAATCTATAACACATGATTACAATATTTTAGATACTTGTCATATTAGTTATTACCTCAGTTTTCTTAAGCCAAATTTTGAAATAATAAATTACATAAAATATGTATTAAACCATTAAAAAAAATTCACCATGATTGCTAAAATCCAAAACCAGTGCCAGAAAATTAAGATATCAATAATAAATTTCGTTACTTCAATTTCCGTTTATATAAATCGATTTTTCTTCAAAGGCCAAACGACATTACCAAATGATTTTTGACCCCATTGCAAAGTAAACATATAAAAAATATCTCATATAATAATAATTAATATTATTTCATTATTACATAGGCTCGTCTTATAAGTAGATATATTTGTTTTTAATATAATATACTTCACCATCTGGCACAGATGAGTTTGACCATTTGCCAATATGTGTTTCTTTTTTCAGTCTTTAATCTGTCCATTCGTCTGAGTGTGAATCATATTTTTCGCCTCGTGCGCTTTTTGGCTCTAGATTACAGTATAATGTGCAACGTGCACCTATATGCGGCGTGGGTGTTTTTATATATATATAAAAAGAAATATGTTATTAGGCTACCAATTCATGCTTTAATTTTGTGTGCTATATATCTATTGTATTTCATATACCATCAATAGCTGTTACCCTTCACTGTTACACTTATGATTTTCTAAACGAAAACTTTGTAATTATTTAATTTATTGAGTTTGTTATATATCACTAATGCGTAATATATCATGATTTTTGTGTATTAATAAAGTTATGAAAATAATTTTTATTTTTATTATAAATATACTGAAACCTGAAATTGTCATGAGTAAATTGCTTATTTTCTTAAAAATATTTCTATGAATAAACCATTGATACTACATAAAACATGATATTATAACAATTAATACAAGCATTATTATTGTGATTTGAACTCAAGGCTAATATTGTTATTCTTATTACATTAAAAAAAAATTAAAAGTGTATATGTATATTAAATAATATTCCAATAGATATAGATAATATTAGTAACTTCCTAATATGTTCAATATAATGTAAACTATATTTATTTCAGTAGTTGAATTTATTGTATGCATTTATATTTAAAAATATAAATAAAAGTCTATGTATTAGATAATATTGCGTTAATTAAATACTATTTAAGTTATATTTAGATATATTACCTTATTTTTTTTTTTTTTTTTTATTAGCTTTTAGTTTTATTATTACAGCTCAATAATTATATAAAACAACATAGCTAAATAGCTAAATAACAAGAAAATACAAAAAGTTAAAAACAGCAATTAACTTAAAAATAAAATATATGATAAAACCAGCCTCCAAAATAAAATTAATAATTATATTTACGGCTATTTCAAAATTGGAGTTGAGAATTGAAAAAAGATTAAGGGGGACAATTACCTTATTTATTGTGAATAATAACTGTGTTTGATCCTACAAACTATATTTAATCATATACTTACCTATAACCTACGACTTATAAAATAACTAATAATGAATTATTATTGAAATAATATATATTTCCTAACTATTCATATTGTACTAAATTTTTAAAATTCGTCAATGTACAAATATTTAAAAAAACAACATTATTTTAGAATACAAATAATAATTAAAACACACCTGTGGATTGTGACTCAATCATTCAAGTTCGGCTCGTACGAAACATATGTTTAAATGTTAGTTCCTATAGAGTGTAACTTTAGTCAAGTAATTTAGTATTATGTTTACTACGTTAAATTTTATATGTGCGTAAACGGTTTATTAATCATATTGAACAAGAAATAAGTCTATCATTGACTAGTTATATTATAACATTATAAAACTAAAGCATGTGCGTTGTGTGTGACTTGTTAGAATTAATTTCATTGTTGGTGTTGGCTCTAAGACCTCATCGAATCGATAAAAAAAATGATTGTATATGTTCAGGTGTCTGGTCGCCAGAACTAAAGCATAAATCATTGGACTTAGAGAATATCACAAGAAAAGCAGAGAAAAATCAGCCGCGGACCGAACTACCTCCAGTATGGACACCCAACTCCAGCCCGACACCTGAAAGAAAATCTTACAAGCCAGTCAGGTTCGAATCACCAACGCTATCTCGAAAGATAATCAATGAGGATATTAAAAAAGTATTTATTTTAATATTTAATCACGTATTTAATCAATCAACGTAAGAAATTAAAAACATTAATATATTACAGGAACCTCCGAAACCACCAGTCGACTTACCTGTATTAAGCTCTCCACTACCACCACCTCCTCCTCCTCCATTACCGTTTAAAATACAAGGTAAGAAGTATAAAAATATTTAAACTATTTCTTTTGGATATAATTTTTGCACATGGCACTTAACTTTATCACAATTTTGGTGGAAGGCGATGAAAATGTTCATAGCACGGACAGGAGACTTCCAAGAGTTCAAAGCCCTACTGTTACGCTCCTTCAGAAAGCAAGAGGTATAACATATAAATCTATATCAAATCAATATTTCAATAATAATTTTCATGTGTTATTATGATGATACTTCAAACAAGTGTTTGTGAATTAATTTTTTTTAAATATCTTTCATTGTTGTACATTATATTGCAAAGTACCTATCGTACTACAAATAATCTACTAAAGCTATTTTGTGTACCTATTAATATTAATTAGGTTTAAGCAAAAGTGCTTGATTAACTTATAAGAAGAAGCTTAACCCCGGTTCTATTTTTATAAGCTTTGAATAGCACATTGAAAATATACCTTTAATTTAAAAAAAATTTTGGAAAGTCCAAGGGAGGGGAGAATATTATATGTATTTGATAAGCCTTAACTCCAAGTTGGTAGGTCTTGCTTTCTGTATAATATTTTATCAACTTAGTTGTGCTTAATTTGTTAATATTTCTCAAGTTAAAATTAGGTATAAAAATATTTAATACATAAAAATCAAATTAAAATATGCTTTTCATTATTATTATGATCATCAACGGACAATGATTAATAATTATAAATAGGCTGTATGCTATTCTACAATTTTCTATACAGTATATATATATTATATATATATCATATTTTTTGCTTTAATATTTCATTGTATTAACATATTATAATAAAATAGATTTGTAAACACCTACACGGAATTTCGTGCTTCATAGTACATGCTTATACATGCTACGTGTAATCATGCAGTATTGTTATTTACTCTTAAAAATTAAAAATGATCACTTAAATTGTAAATTTTAATCACATTACATTTTAAAAATAGCACCAGAACACAAAATATTGCATAAAATACACACTTTTTTCTAAACAGTTTAATATATTTAATTTTTTGTCGATTACCTAAACTTATTATTTTATTTTTCATTTATTTTCATTTAATAATTCAATAAATACCTACAATTTAATGCAATATAATCTAAAAAAGTTGGTATAAAAATTCTTACAGTAAATTAGATACTATTAAAATTAATCTTCAATTATTGATAGTGTATTGAATGCAATGCATGAAAATAATTTTACCAAGTGGAAAGTATCGAAAACAGTAAAGTTCTAAAAATATTATATTAAAATAAAACGTACATATTACGATTTTACATATTAAAATCATCAACAATCAAATATTATTCATAAAATATTATTTTGATTAGTCATTTAAATATAAAATATAATAAAATTCAATTATATTTAAATACCTTATAGTGTACTTATATTTTAAATTAAGCTATAATATAAATTATTTAATAAATAAGTTATACGTTATATAATGAATATTAATCAATATTATGTTAAGATATTTTTATTTATGAATTACTTACGAATGCCTATTTAACTTTATATTTTATCATTTTATATTTCACCATACTTATGTTTTCATCACTTTTAATGAATAATTTGTGTTCAATAGTTTTATATCATTGTAATATTTTCTATTTAATTATATAATTACAGATATAAATACAGAAAAATTTGATGATATAACGAGCGAATGCGTTTAATTAGTTTAACTTTTTTGTATCATTATAGTTATGAACATCGAGATATTATATTTATATCAAGTGATAAAGAGGTTTACGATGAAAATTATTGATATTTTTATTTACAGAAGGACAGTTACCTAAAGGCTCTGCTTATCTCAACTCAGAAGAATATAGTATGGACAAGGAAAATAAAACAAGAGGTTCTACTATCAAACGTAATGTCGAAACTCAAGAAATAAGTAAGTAGTATTACAAAAAAAAAAAAAAAATATAACACAAAAATTTATCATAAAATATTTTTATACTTTTTATTTATAATTTAATATATTATATAATGTATATGTTGAGAAAGATAGGAAGTTGTGGGCATATTATCATTTAAAGATTTCTGAAACTGTTTTAAGTTCGACGTTCTTTCATTGTTAAAATATACACTAATGTTATACTTGCACGTGTTAGTGACTCAAATGACATTGTAACTCTGGATAATTCAAAACATTTATCATTCATATGAACACGTGATTAAGTTGTTAAGATAAGACTCATTTATCATAGGAGTGTCGAAAAATGCACTATACCTGCTTAGATATACAACACGTATCTATGTTTTTTTTTATTCTAAAATTTTATAAATGTTCGTTACCTTGCTTCGTAAAAACACAAATTCTATATTGTTATTCGATTTTATAGTTGATTTTTTTGATATATGTTTAGAATACGCTTCAAGGCGCGAGTATGATAATCTGCAATCAGATGAGAAAAAGCAAAAAAAAATGGTCGAAATCAGTTCAAAAAAGTACGAAGGTATTGGTCCAACAACTAAAGAAGGAGTTCCAATAGTATTGAGATCGGTTTGTGAAATCTTAAATATTAAATGTTTTTTACAATGTTTATTATATAGTTATAAGTTTGCAACATAATAAGAGTTCAATTGATCAGGAGTTTATGCCTATATCTATAGGCTTTTTATCCGAAAAATAAAATTGATTCATACAAGTTATTACTTCATAATGTCTAATTTTAAATAAAAAATATTACTCATTATTACATTTATTATAATTTATATAAAATTATAAATTAAGTAGAACATTTTTTTAAATGTTGATAAATAATAATTTATATTTTATAATTTACCATTTTAGAATAGAAACAAATTAAAATCATATTGAACTGCGCGTTCAAAATAATTTATATTTATATTATATTGGATTCTTAAATTATTATTCAATTATATCGTTAAAAATTAATAACTTTTTTGTTATTTTTTTTTTTTAGGAAATCAAAGAACCAAATCAACCAAAATGGTACAAGCAGATGTATGAGTCTTTACATAAGTTTCAATCCGATGGTAAGTATTTTATACTAAAAAAAAATATAAATTTAGTTTTTTAATTTATATTATACATAAATTATGCAAAATTTGTTTGGTTTTGAATGAATTTTTAAAATTCATTAAATTATTACTTATTAGTTATTATTTTAATTAAAAAATAAGACACATTTTAATTAATAGTTGAATAAACTTATAACTGTAAGTTGCATATTACAGATGATGGGGTAACTGTACGATACAAAACAATATCGCGAGGTGATTTATCTATAGAATTATAGTTTTTTTATTCAGTAGATGACTATATTGAAAAATGCTTAGCTGACTTATGATTAACAAGAATATCAGTTTTAAAATAAATTATTTCTGCATCAGAATCTGTTTTTATACGATTTTCTAATATAATTATTAAAATATTTTAATAAAATGTTTGTTTAATAAAATTACTATAGCTTACTTAAATTTAAATTAGATACTTTAACTTAATTTAATTAAATATTTTATGCAGGTATACAAAAACTAACATGACATATTAATAAACTACCATGGCTGTTACATTTTATTGTAAAATTACATGCATTATTAACCATGTTGTATTACATTAATTATTTATTTAAAAAAATAAATAGGTAATAGGTGTGTAAAAACAATTTGTTTGTAATATTTTTTGTATACTTACTTGTATTAGTTATTATAAATATTGCAATATTTATGTTCTTATAATTTTATTGTTAACAAATAATAATCTAATTTTTATTTTTCAGGACCTAAAGCCAGAAAAGGTGATGGATATTCATCAGAACCGGAAAAAGGGTATGAATCAGATTTCGGCGAAAACAGACTATTCCAAAATTTAGACGGTGAATATACGAGAAATATTTCTACAAGAAGATCGTAAGAAAGAATATAAGTTTATTTTAATTATACTTGTATATTTTTATTGTTAATATATTTATAATTTAAGTGTATCCCCTGTAAAATGTGGTCAAGACAGATACAAGAATCAGCCAAGACCAATCGAAAACTATGAACCGGGACATTCTTCGATAGCCGAAAAAGAAACAAGACAATGGTGGGATGAAGTTATGAATACTTTTGACGGGGTGAGTCAAAGCCTTATTTGTTTCATGTTAACGTGCAAATGTAAATACTTTCCTTTAATTTTCAGGATTCCGAACATAAAATTCCACCTACTCAAAATCGGTCATCGTCAAAAAAATCGAATCTGGCTCAGTGAGAAAAATTATATAATCTAATAAACATAATTTATTACTGATTGATAAATTTTAATTAATGGTCATGTTTTTAGAGCTTTAAAAGAATCTGGATATGATAGCGATTCCACATTAATATTTAAAAGGCAAGAAAATCAATCTCATTGCCTCTCACCGACCGAACAAAAAACTGCATATAAAGTAATTCAAAATGGTGGAGAAGTTCCATTCCAGGGCTTACGAAAAAATTTTCCTGAACGACCAAAAGGTTGGATTATTATGCCATTTAAAAAAAATAAAATAAGTTTAAGTTATTCTATATGAATCACCAATACGCACATTAATAAGTATTAACTAATTACACAAATATTTATCAACATGATGAGATTTTGTTTATAGAAAAAAAAAAATGCACTAATTCAATAACAAATATAAGTACAAATTTTAGTACTAGGTATATTTGACCAATAGTTAAAATTTGTACTTAAATTTAAAATTTATTGATTCTGTGTATTATTTTGGAATATTTTTATTGGAAGGTACTTATGATTATCATGTATGAAGTTTTATTTTATGTTTATAATATGTGTGTAAATAGAAAAACACAACTAAATGTATTTTTAAATCTAGGTTTTTCATAAAAAAAATTCAAAAATGCGTTAAAAATATTCTAAAAGTTAATATGGTTATTATTATTTTATTTTTTAATCATTTACGCACTAATTTTAATAAGTAATACTACATAATAAATAATAATGCATCGGTAGTAAATTTTAAGTACTTACGAGATAATAATTAATAACCTAAGAATTTTAATATTACACAAAAATAAGTTAACTAATAACACATAAATGAAAAAAAAATGAATATTTAAAATAATATTAGGTACACTTCAAATTAATAACATAAATATTAAAATTATAATACGACTGGTGATGTTATGCACATTTCAAAATAATATAATAAGTGCATTTACACTTACGGTATTAACTATTTAAATAATTTCTTAAATTAAAAATAAAAATCACCACCACTTAAATATGTAAGCAATGATCATTCCAAAAACAATTTTGGTTGCACTAAATAATGATGCACGATCTACTTTTTGGGAAACGCTGTGAAAATTGATGGAAGCACTGAAATATTTTGATAAGTGCAATGCAATATTTAATAATGGGCTTACAACTAGTGATTATCTACCTCATCGGCTTGTACTGCACAAACATGAAGCATCTGGATAATAGTTTTAAATAATTAAATTTGATGTGTAGATTTGGAGTTGGAGTATTTGCCAATCACGTCTCATTTAACTAAAATCCAAATTATGAAATTCGATAATGAAATTATTCATCACCCTTGGAAGGAAGTCACTTGTTACCCAGTCTTTTCAAACTTTAAGAGAACAGCTAAATCATCAGCTAATTCTACTGGATCACCTCCTACTCCTCCTCGACGAGAATCATCTCGTAAAAATTCTAGACTTGAGCGATGGACTAAAGGCGTTGAAAAAGAATCTAGTGTCGAACTAAAAGTTCGTAAATCAAAACCCGAAACAGAAAAAAGATCAAAAAGCTTAAGTTTGAAAAGTTCAACGAAAATATACAATAATAATCTTAAGAAGGAAAAAGAAAAGTCTCCTAAAGTTACAGTTGCTGTTCCAACAAAAGTAAAAGTGCTTCCTAGATCCAGTACTTCATCAACAAATTCTTCAGAATCATCTTTACCCAAAAAAACTAAATCATTATCTACTCCAGCTAAAAGCATCTCTGTTTCTAAAACTGCTCAGAAAACAATTTCAAAAGAAAAGGCATTAAAAAGTAATTTAGTAAAAACAAATAGCGGAAAACGACAAAGCCAAAAAATTGAAATTATTAAAACATCAGGGAAATCAAATTTAAAAAGCGAAAAAGATATAAAAAATAATGAAAAACAAAATCAGTTTGGAGAAGAATTTTTTCAACAATTACTTTTGACTGACGAAAAGAAAAAACAAATTCCTAAAATAAGTCCAATCAAGGATAAAGAAAAATCTAATGTGTGTCATAAAGGAAGCAAAATAGATATATATTTATCAAGTAAAAAGCCTGTATCTGAATCTAAATTTAAATCTTTCGATAAATATCAATCTTCTGGTGCAACAGAATGGGATCAGTTTGGAGATGAAAGTGTTGATTTTCTAAAAGGCAGAAGTGCCAGTGAACCACCATCGCGTTCTCCATCTTCTCGTCGTATTAGAAGTTTCCAAGCACCTGTAAAATTGATTGAAAGTGTAACTGGTATCCGTCGATGTCAACGATCTAAAAGTGCTGAAGAACCTATGGAGAGAGTGAAAAATGCTGCAGTCGATTATGAATATCAAACCTATGTAAGAGAGTTAAGACATTCAAGTAAGAAATCTGAACGCTTTAAAGAATTACATAATTTTTATTGTAGTTTGGAAAGATTAGGAGAATTAGAAAAAACTGCAGAAAATGCAAGTAATAAAGTTCGAACACGTGGAGATTTAGTGGACTATGATAAGTGGAAGACCATTCGGACTAAGGAAAGAGCTGAAACTGAAATCAAATCATTGCATGCAAAACTTGAAGATGTTCAGAAGTCAAAAGATGTGTTATACAAAACAAAAGATCCCGAAGAAATACGTTGGAAAGGGAATTTAGATCGTGGTTTGAGAAATAGAGAAACTTCAGTGACTGATTTGAAACGAAAATTTCATGCTATCGGGGCCGATACTTATTGTAAACCAGAAGTTAACGTTTACAGGCCACTATGGAGAGGAACTTCAGTTCAAGATGTAGCTGCATCATTAAAACACATTACGTCATCAAAAAGAGGTCGTCCTGTATCAGAGGAGAGGGAAAGTAATTATACACCTATACCTAGAAGATCGAGTTCTAGAAGTCCTTCTAATATTGGTTGCCGAATATGGAGCAGTCTTTCTATGGAACAATTGAATCGACTCAAGACACAACTTAATGAAGTATATAGTACAATATCTGACATGAAAGGAGAAAGAATACCAAGAGCTATACAGAGAACTAAATTAAAAAACGATTACGAAATTGAAGTTAATGGCAGGGTAAAGAAATCAGAGATCAGCTCATCGTTGTACATAAGATCGAGTTCAATGGGGCCTTCTAGAAAGAAAAATAGAGAAGAAGTCCTCAGAAAAGCTGATTCGATTGGATCAGTGTGTTTAAGTGAAAATGAAAAAAAAAAAATTTCAAAAAATATTAGTAATGAAGTATTAGAAAAAAAACAAAAAAAGCATTCAGGAAATTTAGTTATACCCAAAGAAACTCTAGGAGCTGTTGCAGCAGTTAAATGTAAAAAAAATATTCCTGAAAGTGTTTCACCGAGAACATGTTACTCCATTGACGTATCCGAAGAAGAATCTATTGCAAAGAATTGCGAAAAAAACTATTTATTGGTCTTGGCTGATAATGAAGACAAGAAAAAAATGATTTCTGATTGGGCAAATGGCACAAATATTAGTGAATCCAGCTCATCTGCTTCTACAGTTATACACCTTGGAGCAAAAAAAACAAATTTACATTCATCTCAAAGTTTTTCATCTATGAAATGTATTTTTGGAGAAAGAGATTGTATGCGAAAATTGTTATCTCCATCACCAGACCGCTGCTACGAGTATTCAAAATTAATTAAAAATGGATTTGTTAGAAAACTTTGTAGAAAATTTGAAAGCTTTGATGATCTTCGATTTTTGCATACTTCAATTAAATCAAATACTTTAAAAAAATACAAGAGTGACCCAGAACTTAATCAGAATATTATAAGATATCATGAATATGGTGATGTACAAAGTCTGAAAACTAAATACGAACGGTGTAAAAGTCCAGTGCCTAAGTGTCCATTGAGGCCAGACAATAGACTTATGCCCCGTATAAATGTAATTAGTAAACTGGCGAGTCTTCAAGATAAGTTAACTAAAGGTGAAGTAGAAAGAATAAGGACCATGTTTGAAAATAGAAATAGAGCATTTATGTTGGGTCAATTTTATACTTCTACTCCTGATTTGAGAGAAGCAAGAAAAATGATACCATTTTTAGACTGCAATTGGATGGCACACAGATATCCAGAACCAGAACCTTTAACCAAACCAAAAGTGAGACCTAAATCTGCATCACCAGTCAGATATAACAGAAAACATCACCATCCTTCTATTTTAAAACATTCAAAACACGATGGATTTTTAAGCCAACCGTACAATCCGGAAGCTCATAAGCCCAAGTATAGGTGGACACCATCTTGGAATGGTGTATGGACCCAACAGCCAACATTACCACCAAAACCATCAATTGTAAAATTTAAAGGTGCAAAATTTTATAAAACTATCCACAATAACATAAAAAAATGCACATACATTTTATAATAAGAGCATAAGTTTAAAACCTTACTATTTTCAATGAAAACGAAAATAAATAAAAATAATTAGCTATAGGTAGATCTTTTAAATATAAAATACTATATATTATATATTTTATAAACATTCTTTTACACGATTCTAAGTATTCACTAAAAATAATTGAGTATTTCTCTGCTTTATTATTTTATTTTTAACAAGACAATGATGATTATGTATTATAGTTGGTTAAAATTGGCATATGAGAAATATAGTGTTCATAATTCATATAGTAATAATAGAATAGATGCTGATTATTTTATAAATTACAAAGACCACCCAATTCTTATACAATAATAGATAGATATACCGTGCATACACTCTAAATAACCGCTCCCTAATAAATTTAATTCAGAAAGTCGACTGTATAAATTAACTAAAATATGATATTATATCGTGAATTTAAATGATATTTAGATAATTTATTGCAATGATCATTCGTATTGAATTAGACCGGCATTTTCATTACATGAGACCAAATTAATTGAGATAACTCTTAAAAAAATCGAAAGTAGTATTGAGAAATATTTACGTTCCATTTCGCGGCACGTCAAAAAAAAAAACCATTAACATGCTGGAATTAACCTTGGCAAGGTTCAAGGCTACTAAAATAAAATCCAGATAAGATTTAAAACACCCAAATTTCTGTACATATATATTATTATACACCACGGGTGAGTGAATACATTATTGTCACATTCTTCCACGTTATTGACCCCGATCATGATATACAAACTACAAACGGCAACTACCAGATGAGAGCGCTGCGATCGCCTGTAGCTCGGTCTGTCCCATTCCGATTGTTTTGCCGCCGAACATGTGGTAGTGTATGCTCGGCTTCGGATGGTGTTATTCGTTCGGTCATGGGTTGAGTTCGTCAATGCGTGTTTATATTTATCCCTATCACCCTCCGTACGATAATCCCGTTGTAATAAATTCGAGTTTTGGGTGTTATGGCTGGCGATGACATGAAAAAACCGCTCTTGTTGCCAGCTAGAACAGTCAGTCTAAGGAGGATTGTCGTCAACGGTGACTGTAAGTAGTAATTACTCAATTACCTATTTACTATTAGCAATAAAGCTAATTTACAGATGAATACAAATTTAAATTAGCTATAAGTTCTTACACGAACACAAGGATAGAGCTTTAAATGGTTTTGGAGGTCAATATTTAATTTATGGACTAACTTAATAACGAAGACAGTACAATTACTGATATATTTGTTGTAAAATACAATATTGGTTATTATAAGGATATTTTTTCGTTGAACGAATGTTCATAGTCTGTATAATATAGGTTTTAAAGACTAATTTAAGATATATTATTTAAAATACACATTTTTCTACAAACAACGACATGACTGAAAAATTTAAAAACATTTTTGTAAATGCTTGTAATGATATCGTATAACGTATGCGTTTATATATTACTATTACGAGTATTATTACTTGACTTGCAGATACAATATTAAAACATACATTTATATAATACTTTCATAAAATAGTAACTAGAACATTCACTATTTTTATTTAAATAATTTTAATTAATATCTTACAGCTATGATTTTTTAGAAATTATATTTTTAAAAAAATATCTAGTTATTTTTTTATACAATGTAAATATTGTGTAAAACGCAAAACTTTTCGGTAAAGTGTGGGATCTACCTATGTTTTTTTTTATTAAATTACGTGTTTTAAATTTATAAAATTGTATAGCATTTTTAACATCAATTTCTAAAACGAAAAATATGTCTTACCTATACCTTTAACTAAGTAAAATTTGATCTTGAGAGCTATCCTAAAAATGATTTCAAAGATTCTTGTAGACCAATAACACCAACATATTATTATCATAACGCTTACATTTATTACATATTTTTTATTTATAATTCTAAATTACACACTAACATATTAATTTTAAAACTCTTATAAATGCATGGTTACTAAATTAAGACTCAAATATACAATAATTATGTTTGATTTGTAATGAATTTTTATCGATGACCATTTGATACTGATCATCATATTCATTTTGCATTTAGCGATCCTCAACGAGAAGTCGATATTATGCAATATTAAACTTTATATTAAATTATAAGCATCATTGTATAATATACTTAATTATATAATATATATATACTTACGATAGATCAAAATCCGATGGTTGTTGGTAGATCACACACTTTGTTAGTTCTAAAATTTATTGTAAAAACTATTTATAGCAAATCTATTTGAACTTACTTTCGCTAAGTATAATATCATGTACAAAACCAAGATTATCAATCATATTAATATACTAATGTCTAATGCACCATCATAGCTCACAATATATTCTATTCACTGAACAAAAACTTTTTACTGAGATAAAAAAAATCATTTAATTTAAAATATTATGCAAAAGAAAAAACTTAGATCACCACCTACTTGAACTGTAGACGTGCTTTTGGGAATATCGATGGAATTAACTTTTAATATCAACACCTATTACCTATTGGCTATAAGGTACTGTTGTCAATTTGATGATTGTGTATAAGTTATAATAATAATGGTATTTTTATATAAGCTATATAGTTTTAAATATATGTATAGTATACAAATAAACTATAGGATATACAAACATGAGTAATTTTTCCGAGTGCAAATGCATCTGAAAAAAAAAATAGAATGAAATAATGTATCTGTCGAGTCATAAACTATTTACCTTGAACATTATTTTTTTATGGTTGATTTCATCTATAATAATTTTCCGTTTCATTAAAAAATTAGATATAATCTATAAAATATCTGAACCGTTAATTTTCGGATGCTTGTCTACCTAATGTTATATCGATATAGTATAGTTGGAATAATGACGATCCGAGTTAAACATCTGCGCGCTTCGGCATATTATGAAATACAATCATGCATAGTTTAATCGCAGGTATATTTAAACGCGTTTGATAAATACATATTTAATATTGTTTCCAGATAGAAGTACAAGCTCGAGGACATTATAGGTCAAACGTTTTTGTTCCGCCCACGAGAAAAAAAACTTCAACCGTATATATACTATATACAATATATAACATCACATAATACTTCCCCCCCTTCTCGCGCTGTTCACTATCGCCACACCAACCCTTTTTCCCGTCTTAAGGTCACGCGTCCAGGCGCCGATATTAAATTAAATTATAGTGCACTTTTAACCCTATCTTCGCTTTGTTTGTGTCTTTAACTCAACCCTTTCGATAATAAAATTAGGTTTTCGAATAAGGTCCCCGGGAAATAAAGAATTGCCTCGTAAAATAAAATAAAATAAAAAAACCTGTAGGTCTACTTTTACGAGCCTCGCGCTCACAAACGCGTTATATTATTATAAATTACAAGCAACATGTTTAAGCGCGCATGTACGTAGTAAATTGTCAATGTCCGTGTGAATAATGGAAAAAGTGTGGTCTTGTTTAATCAGTAGCAGCTGGTTGATCAAAGGAAACGACCGACTGCAGCTCTTAAATGTATAATATACACACGGGGTTCAAAAAAACAACATAAAATCAATTTTGTTTCGACATACATACCAATATTTTTAGAACGGCATCTAAATTTGTTCTCAGTTTTCCATTATACGAACACAAGATTGTGAAATATTTTACTGTATTTCCGTAAAGTATGCAACTTTCTTAACTACATTTACTTTTTTTTCTTTAGAGAATTTTCTCCATTTTAATTCAATTTTTATTTACAAGAAGTATCTACTATAATATTTACTAATAAAAGAAATCTTTCCTATGACATCTAATTTTATGGATTTCCAATCGAATGTATCACTTTCAATCTGTTATATGTAAATTATTAATTCGACAATGGAGAAAGTATTATGATAAAAAATTGCGAACTTGCATAATATTAATTATCCATTTATCCAGTTATTCAATATAGTCATTTTTTCCCTCTAATCATAAATTATGTACCGTTAGGAAAAAATCAATAAACCTTAGAAAATAATAAACTTTATTATAAATCTAGTGACGTAATACCACGTCAATCACGATTATAATAAAAATTATTATATTTGATTGCTCAATATTTTACATGCTGCCCTCGGTCCGACACAGATCTTGGCATCTGGCTATTTTGACAAGAAGTCGTGTCTATTTTTAATTTTGCTTGGAAATCTTCAGAAAAGCATTGCAGAAAATATAAGTAAAATAAACAGTGTTTTTTTTAGTTGTGTAGCTTTCTCGTGAATGAAAAAAATGAAACATGTTTCGCTAGAGCCTATTGTCAAAAGAAGAGAAACCGATAATTATATTGCCGTTTGGACGTGTTTAACGATCCGTGTTACATTGATCCTCCATTCACTGGTAGCACGTGTTCGAATATTCTCTAGACTGAAGGTCTTTTAATAGTATATATATATATTCGATGCTGTTGAAAAAAATACAACAAAACCAACGTAGAACTATGAAAATATGCACATATATATATTATATTTTCCATCAAATTATGGTTTTATCGAAACATATTTTTGATAGTAAAAACTGGCAACCATAAATATTAGGGTTGGCGAGTGAAGGGAAGTAAAGAATGAAAATTACCGCACGCAACTCATTGTGTTCATTGTTGATTTTGTCATCGTTATTTTCATTGTTCAGTATTTCGTTCGTTCCCTATGGTATTCGATTCCTAATTTTAACTGACATACATAGAGGGGGACTGTCTATGCAATAACCGACTTTTAGTCGCAACAAAATATTTGTGCATTATCGGGCTTCACTGAAAATGCAATACTATAGTATATAAAGATGTACCTACTGGTATACAACTTTAGTTGAACGCTAACGCTATTGTTTTAAATAATATTAAGAAAATACTTTTAGATTCACCACACAAATATGCTGAGTCGGAGGTAACACTACAGTATCGACGTCCGGTTCGGAATGAAATTAAAGAAGAATGGACAGAAGAAGAGTTAGCTAACAAGCAGGCAGAAGCTATGAGAAGGATTTATCAAGAAGAAAGACGAAGAAAGTACCTTCAAGAACTTCAAGACATGTCGAATAGGAGACATGCAGACAACTTATTGTTAGTCGCAGAACATGAAAATAGTATCAAAAATAGTAACATTTTAAAAAATAATGACATTTTTTAGGCCTTCTCAAAAATCTCCCATCCCATTAAACCGCTACGACGACTTTGTTGACGAGAGCCCACAACCGCCAAGAAGTCGTACTCCAGAACCAAAGCTCGTGGCAAGAGCTTTATACAACTTTGTTGGCCAAACGTCCAGGTAATAAAGTATTATTAATAGGTAGAATATATACCATTATACTGTTCCTAGCCGTGTATAACCGGACATAGATATATTACAGTTTATACATTTATAATAGATAAACACTAAACATGTAATATTGGTAGTACCTATGTTATTTATATTTTGATTTATATGTGATTGTGTATAGAGAACTGTCGTTCCGGAAAGGTGACATCATATTCGTCCGGAAACAGATCGACAAGAATTGGTACGAGGGGGAGCACAATGCTATGGTCGGATTGTTCCCTTTCAACTATGTTGAGGTACGCATTATGCCATTCAAAAATTCCGTTTTCCGGTTCACAGAGCTCACGCACCAACCAAAAAGCACAAAAATTTAACATTTTATATTTTTGGCAGGTAATTCCGTACGATGGTATCAGGACAACACCGCACAGACCTTATGAGGGCCAAGCAAGGGCGAAATTCAATTTTGTTGCACAGACCAATATGGAATTGTCTTTGGTCAAAGGTGAAAATCAAAATTTACATTCCTTAGTAATAATTTTATAAATTATAATCATAATATAAAATAATGAATTGCGATCAAATAACGTTCGACGGTGATGGGTGATTAGTGATTACTAATTACGATGACGTTTAGCGTTCAATGAACGCTGAATACTGCAGCAAATCTCATTCATTGTATGAACCACTCCCTTCTCGATTTGAAACGAATTCGTCAAGACAGACAAACGCATTATTTAAATAGTTTATTATAATGTATTTATATGTATTATTTTCATATTCAGGAGAACTGGTTGTACTGACTAGGCGTGTTGATAACAACTGGTACGAAGGCAGAATTGGAAATAAAAAGGGAATATTTCCTATATCTTACGTTACAGTTTTAGTAGAACCAAGCGATCATCCAAGTAATTAATATTGTTACCATTATTATTTGCACTAATATATGCGTTAGCTCGCTCGATAATGCCGATAGTTATCGGTAGCTACAACGAGTGTGCGTCGTATTATTATTTCGAGCTTAAACGGATCTATTTGTTTTGTTTTCAGACTCATCAACGAGCGAGTCATTCAAACCCGTGGCATCTCCAGCATCGCATTCTCTCATTACCAGTAACCCGCCAAAAACACAACACATGTACCAGCCGGATAGCTATTCTTCTATGGTATCAAATCGTCTAAACCAAAAAAAACTTGTTATACTTTATGAAGTTAGGGAAACTTATTGTCGATAATATTGATTGTAGCCGACAAGAAATTCCGGGACTCAAACGAAGAAACAAGCAAATAACATAAATGAAACACTACACGTTGACGTACATTCGGAACCTATGCCGTAAGTAGACAAATAAAGTTTTCATACTATATAGGTGCACAGTCAGTCAATTTATTTATTTATTTTACACATATTATTATAATTCCTACAAAAAAAATATCTTCACACTCTGTTATTTATTAGGTACATTTATATTTTATTTTTATAAACAATATCTGGGCAATTATAAAATAACAAATATTTATAAATAACTAATAACTTATTATAGAGTTAATTTTTGTGCATGACAAGCACTGAAAGGACTCGCCTCTTATAATAGTTTATAATTATATAGCATGATCAAAAAATAGATAGGTACTCAGTTATTAAAAATTTGAACTAGTCAGAATCATTATTTCGTTTTCAATGGTATATTATACATTTTTACAGATCCAATCGTATACTTTATTCTAAAAATGTTTATGTAACTGTATAAAAGAAGGTATTTTATTACAATAATGATAAAAATCGTATTTTTTCTTATTGTAAAAAAATCACTATCATATTATTATCAATGAAAATATAAACACACACGTGAACTTACAAAGATAATCATATGGAATATACCTACAGTCAATTGTTCGCACACATTTGGTCACGGTAAATTAAAATTAATAATACAAAAAAAAAAAGGAATAAAATTAAAAATAATATATTGTGATAAAGAAATAAAAGAACAATTAGTGATTTGTCTATTATTTAAAAATATCTACTAAACAATATAGATATAGATATAACTTATAAATAACGTTCGAAAAAACTTATTAAGCCTACATTTTTTTATAATACCGTGTCTTAATTGATTGTATTCGACTATACATTATACGATGCTGTAATATATAAGTAAACAAATAAAATAAATAGTTATCTTCTTAGCATCTAAAGGTCAATTATCTTTTAACTTATGTCATAGTGTTTAAAATTATTATTTTTAATATATCAATAAATTATTTTAACAGTCAAAAAGAAAAAAATTGGCGAGTACAGGTTATATTTAATACCATTTCAGACAAAAAAAAATTGAAAATTAAATTAGGAAATAGGTTAATAGAAAATGTTATATCAAACTAAGAAACACGAGTTAGCAGTAAAAAAATAAGAGGTTAGGTATGTTGTAAACAAAGAAAAGAACACAATCATCGTTCATTGTAAATTAATTGTTTAAATGTATAATTTGTTTTATATAATATGTTTATACATATATAGCTGTGTAGTGCGTTATACAGGACACTAAGTACTCGTATATATGATTATTTAACAACATAGCACTTCTTTTTTAGTACAAGAACATTGCTGAATAAAAATAATCGACACAATATGTTACTTAAATTATTAAATACAATTAATTTAAAGTTATACTTTTAAATACAAACATACGTATAATAAAAATGAGCAATCAATGTTAAGACAAAAAACTCTTTTAGCCACTAATCTCGATTTTGAGACTATAGTAGGCTAGAACGAAATACATGACTTACAAATAGAATACTAAACAAGGTCTGACTAAGTCTGATTTAATGAAATTATATAGTGAATAGCTAGTGAATGGCATAATTATAGATTTAGCCATTTAAGTTTTATTCAATGAAAAATGGAGACTATAATATGTCCATATGAAAAAATAAAGATGTTGATATTATTACAATAATTTTATTTATCTAATAAAATATGTGACGTGTATTTCATTATTTTATACCGATAAAATATCTCTTTGACACTATCTTGCATACTCATAATAATTCATAATTCATAATCTCCGTTTACTTCAATAACGGTTTTCACATTAATTTAATATATTATTTTAATCACAAAAACAACATACTTATACATAATAATGCATAAAGACTTATTTACTACATCAGTATGTATATATTTATAAAATCATATTAAAATTGAATAAAATATATTATTATTATTATTATAATTACTATTTTAAAACATTATAATAAATTAAACATAAAATAAATATTATATTATGTATATTATGTGACTAATGTGATGGATATGCATTTTTGACTAATTTGACATTAGATCAAATTTTTCATAACCAAACTTTTACAACCGTTTGATGTACATATAGGTATTATCCGTCATAATAATATTTGATTTTAAATTTTTATTGCATAATATTATTTTACAAAATGAGCGATTTATCACTCGAGTTGATGATAGTTATAGGGCGTTATACAATTATAAGCCACAGAACAGTGACGAGTTAGAACTAAGAGAAGGCGACGTAGTATTCGTGATGGAAAAATGCGACGATGGATGGTACGTAGGATCGAGTAAGCGGACAGGATGCTTTGGCACTTTCCCTGGCAACTATGTCCAACGCAGTATCTGATCTGATCGCTGTAAAACAAAACAATTTTTCTAAAAAATCACCTTTACGTCTCTTCGTCCTCGTCCTCCTCTCCGTGCATGTCATCGGATTATCACTTGTCTCTCTAAGTAAAATATAATTTTATATACCAAAGGATTTTGCATTAACTTTAAGTTGTTTATTTATTTTTATTTTTTATTTTTTTTTTTTTTTTTGGTTATAGTTTTAAATGTTCACTGTTAACATATAATACGTATTATGTGTAATGTATATTTCGTCTGTAATTAGATATTGTGTTGTTATAATCGAATAACATTATATTATTACTATTATTATTATTATTATTATTATTATTATTATTATTATTATTATTATTATTACGGTTATATAATTATTGTAAATGAAAAAAAAACACTAGTCAGTCAATATCACTATTAGAGATACAATTTAAGTAATATAATATACTCTATTCAATATTCTATTAGTATAGAACACTTTATAATATAAGATATATTATACTCCAACAGAGTTTTGTTAATATTTGAACAATAATATAATAATATATAGTATATACTATTTTATGCTATTATGCATGTTGAACATACGTCATTTCTGACCGATCGGCGTTATGCGTGTGTAACCCTAAACTGTTTTGTTTTTCTAAGAATCTTAGCCCCTCCGAACGAATCCAGAATATATTATTATGATATTTTGTTGACGAGCCTTGATTGATTTTATTATTTTTGTTTTCAATTCGCCCACAAGAGACTTAAAACAAGCTTTAGTCCTAAACTACTGAACTTAAGATTTCCCTCAGCTAAATTGATTTACCGTTGTCCTTATATCATACGTATACCTAATCGTATTTTGTTCATAAAAAATAATACTGTTCAACACAAAAATTATGTGTCCATCATTATACATTCGAATTAAATATATTTCTATTTTATACTCCTATACTATAGGTACACGGTACACGTCCGCATACACTTAGGTACGCGCGTACGCGTGTTGTACACAAATTTGTACAAGATACATTATACAGGCATAATATCATTGCATTTTTTTTTTCATTGGTGAGGTGTATGAAGTGCATCCCTCCCCCCCCCCACATACACACCACCGATTACTATTCACATGGTCTACGGATTTTCATGCTACACTTTCATTTAAGGGGCTAAGCCACCGGAAGCCACCCCCCCCCCCCAGAGGACAGTCCATGCGACACAAAAACACACACACACACACACACATTTATATACGACATATTATTATATATAAATAAAATAAATATACTACTTGTTATAATATAATGTATTTATATTTTTCATTTTGTATTCTCTGTATATTTTCGTAAGATCAAGTGTTCCTTATTTAATAAGTATAATAATATTATACGGAATACGGATAGATTGGCGAAACATCTAACTATTTGATGGTGTGCCCATAAACCACAAACACATAGAGCACACGTTTTATTTTATTATATTATAAATTATTTTATAAACTCAGTTAGAATATGTTTAAGAAAATTTATTTCTCGAATATGTGTATAATTCTTTTTTCGTCCAATAAAGTGACTAGAGTCTAGATTTATAATTTATAGGTGTATACAAATTTTTTTGACACTCAATAATAGGATACAATAGTGTAAATATTCAATATTAGGCACTATATTATTATATTATCCGAGAGCATCATAATTTATTTGTATAATATCTACCCGTTTCGTGCAATCTATCCTTGGTGTTATATTATAATAATATACAATATATACGGTCATTGTTATTTAATAATAATTTATTGTGAAGTAAATGTATCTATACATAATATTTAAAATATATTTTTTCAGTTTGTACACGTGCATTTTAGCACAAAATATGCTTAATGAATGATAAATAAACTAATATAAAAAATATCAACACGCTGTTTTGACTGTATTTTCAATTTATTATTATTTTCTTTTAAGCAATAAACAGCTATTATACAATACATATAAATTGTTAAATCTCAAATTTTGACTTTTGAAAATGATAATTAATATAGAGTAAGTACAACACATTTTCGACTCCATACATTAGGCATATACACTAAAAATATTCACAGCAATGAAACAACAGCACTCAAGTATAATGTAGGTTACATACCTATATACACTTGTTTTAATATATATAATTATTGTATGTTACAGCAACCATGTCGAGTTACATCATCAACTGATGTAGCATTTATCGTGTGCATTATTATTATTTATCATCGTCATTATATTTCATATGTATTATTACAAAAACATAAGTATCTGTTGACCTATAGCAAAATGGCCAAAATGTAAACAACATGAATTGCATATGATTTTTGTCTAACACTGGATAAGAAATTATTTTAATCTTTGATTAATTTAATTATAGAAGAAGATTCCTAAATAAAATAAAATAATATGGGCATAAAGACGATTATATGAAAGGAGTATAGTTTATAAAAGGTAATAAAAAATGAACAACCAAATAATAATAATAATAATTAAAAATGAATTTAATGACTGAGAAAAAGTATAAATTCACACACTCGAGCAAACACCCATCAATTATAAATAATATAATTCATTTTTTTTTTTTTAATTCCTTGTTGACCCCAAAAAACCAAAGTCTATGTTATAATTACTGCATTTTTTCATTCAAAGCTTAAAATTCAAAAATATAAATATGAATAAAATTTAAAATAAAAATTAGTAAAATATAAAATAAATTCTAACTATAATAATAATTAATATTAAAACCAAAACAGCTAAAATAGCTCGTAAATGTTAAGTTTACTATTAAGCTGTTTTAATCTATTTAGTTTTTAGATGTTGAATGTTCATCGCCATTTGTATTCTCATTTATTGTTTTAGTTTCCACGTTTTTATGCTGAGACATGTTTTCTATGTTTTTTTCCTGATTTTTCGTTTCAGGTTGTACTACACACGATAGGTTATTGACCACATGCTATAATTATAAAAAAATATATTGTTTTAGATAATTAATAATTGAAAACTGATATCAATATAATATTATGTATTTATATTTTATATTTTATGTCCTCGTACATTCTAAAATTGTATCGAAATTATTCTATACATTATAATCTAAAAATCAAACTATGTGAATTATAATATTGCTGTATTGGGTGTTTTGTAATAAAATACATTTAAATAAGAAGTCTTTAAACCATTATCAAAGAAAGTATTATGATAAGTGATTTATGATGTAACTATAAAAGTTAAATTAATATTTAAATTATCTCTGAAATGTAGGTGTTTTAAATTTTAATTCAAAAAGATATATTCTATATAAATAATAATATTATAAGCTATCGACATAATATAAATATTATATTATATATTTACTATTTACTTATACATTCCAATGTTCTACATCCATATTGGCTATATTAGTATGGAAGTTATTTAATATGTATTTAGTGACAGTCGTACAGTGCTTACCTATTATTGCATATATTTTATATAGGAGTCGGTAAAAACTTTAAGTATTCCTATCGCGTAAGTGGAAATATACCGCATGAAAAATGTCGTGATAATTTAAATATTGTATAATACTGAATAAAAATCGATGAACTTATAATTTATATATAATATATTTGTTGTAAATACCGTTACCACTTTATCACAGTTTGTAAAATGTAAATAAACCATTCGAGTATGAAATATATTAAACAATAAACATTACACCTTTACTATTACAGTTACAACTTTTAAAGTTAACTGCAGTTATAATTCATAAGCCAATGAAAAATCAACAATCTACAAATCAAACAATATTAATTATGAACAGAATGTTATGATTGTAGAAAAATCTGAAATTATTCAATAATGATTGTCGTTTTTACATATTAATTACATTTTAATTTATTTACTTCAAAAGATTAACTATTAACTTCAATTTAAATAAAATTAAAGTAAGACATTTAAAATTTGAAATCATATTTGTTTTTAAATTGTCTAAGTCTATCAAGTACTGACACATACTTGACAATTTTATTCTCCATTAATATAGGTATGTATAATGCCTGTTTTTATTATTGTTAAATTTAAATAAATACATAAATTGTACAATACTTATATATATAATTATATAATATATTATTATTACTTACATTTTTTTTTTCGTATACATATCGTAAAAACATTTCAATGTAGTATTTGGCCATTTGTTCGGTGATTTCTATCATCTTAACAAGTGAAGATACGCCTTCTTTGATTCGTAGACAGCCCATTTCCACTAACAATAAGCTATTAGCTACCTCAACTGGTGTAGCACCATCGCCGAGTTTCTTCCAGATCTGTCGAAACGTCTTTGGCAACAACTTTGGTTCAAAAACAAACTATGAAATTTGGGTTGAGTAGGAAGAAAAAAATAAAAATATATATACAATAAATAAAAATAAAAAACACTTTCAATTACTAAAAAATAAGTTTTACATATTTACTTAATTTACGTCACAAATTTGAATTCATTTTATTTCAAATCGTCGAGTGCTACCTATTTATAAATTTGTACTATATAACTGACATACTTATTAATTATTATGAGTACTAAATAAATTGTAAAAGAGAGAAACAGCCTATCAATATTTATATATATATTACCTATATAAGCATTTAATTACTCGTAGTTTGAAGTTTCCTTACTGCTGTTTAATACTTCAATAGAAAATTGTTTATTTACATGATACTAAATAAATCACTCACAATTAAGCAAGACTAAGAAAATACTTGTTCAATGCCATTAAATTATTTAATCTATAGTGTTTGAAACCGTTCGCTTTTTACTTAAATATAAGACTTTAACTTACAAATACAGTTAAACTTGGTTAACTCGAAGTTGAAGAGACCGAAAAAAAGTTCGAGTTATCCAAATTGAAAATTTTTATAACAATACAAAATATATGAATTCCTATATATTTACTATGAATTAAGTTATGTAATAAAAAATATTTACTATGTATTTATACGTGAATTATGTACCTATATGTAATTTTAAAGAAGTATGTATCTATGTATAAAAAAAAATGAGGTTAGAAAATTATTTCAAAAAGGTATTTATTTTTGTTTGAGTTTTGTGCTGTTGATCACAGCGTTTTTAATGAATCGTTTTAGACCATTTATCGATAACGATAACACTAATAAGTAATGACTTCATTTTATATTTTAATATATATTCTCGTACATAGGTACACGAGGGAAATATCACAATTTTATAATATTAATAAAACTCAAACTTCGAGTTATCCACGAAAATATTCGAGTTAAACAAGATTTTTTAGATTATTTAAATAGGAAATTCTAGGGACCGGAGAAAAAGTTCAAGGTATCGACGATTTCGAGTTAAAGAAGTTCGAGATAACTTCGACTGTAGAATTTCGACTGTACAATAAAATCTATCGTCCGAAAAATATTCCTTTATTACCAACAATATTTTTTATTCAATGAATTTTTTACTTGATCCTTCTTTTAACAGTGTAGTTAATATGTGAAAAGCTAATTTCAGAATAAGTATATATTATTTACCAATTTATTTATTTCACGTTATAAAAGTTTGAAAATGAATAATTAATATTGTTAATTGAAATTTCAAAATAAAAATCAATTAAACACTTTTTAATGTTGTTAATTAATAAACGGTTTGACATTGCCGTTTGTTAAATATTATTTTACTTACTATTTTCGTCAGCAAAATTGATTCTCCATATAAACTGTACATCAGGCTTCCCAAATATTTTGGTTCGGCGTAAGCGTGTTGTTTGATGCGACGAGCAAGCGTCATGGATAATTGACATGCTCTTGGACCCTTTTCACTATTTATGAGCTCTTGAAATATTTAAACACTTCAATAAGTATTCGATATACATAAAAATTAAATATCTATATAAAATGTTAGCTTATATAATCATTCTTTAATTAAGTACCAGCAATAATAAAGTTAGATTAGAGAGAAGTAAAAGAAGCATAAATTCTATAGCCTAAAATATTTTGTTCAAGAATTTGATAAACTTCAAATGAAATCACACTACGAAATGTTTTAAATTTACAAAAACAACATAATTGTATCAATTACTGTATTATTTTATACTATTTTACTCGTCATTTAGCTATTTTGTTCCACAAAAAGAGAAACTAAAATAAAAATGCAGTATTATATTAAACCAAAACACATCAACGGACAGAAATAATTTAAGTAATTATAAAAATTTAAAAATCATACAAATCTTCAAATTCGATGATAAAATGTTCCAATCTCCAAGTTGTGAATTGTATTACATAAAATTAATAGTTTAATGCGAAACCATTTTATTGGACATAACTATATTAACATTTAAATAAATACATAGGTTTATCATATTTTTAAAAGAGATATTTAAAAGAGAATTGTAAATGTTCTTATTGTCCTATAAATATTTTAGGCATAGACTGTTTAGCTGAATCGACTCAAAATATGGTTTGGGGGGGGGGATATTTATATATAACGATTGAGTGAGCGTTTATTTTACCAAAAATACCATTTGAGGGTGAATAAGTAAAAATAGGTTTATTTTTATAGGTTTATCCGTATAGGTTAATTAGTTAATATATTGTATAGTACTGTACACTGAAGTTAATTGAAAGAAAAAAAAATAATAAAACAAAATCACAAACAGTATACCTACTTAATCAATTATTAAAAATTAACTTAATTTTAAAAATATATTGATAAAATCAATAATTAATAAATTAAATTAAAAATTTACATTAGAACTTTAAATTGCTCATGTATGTAAAAATAATTTAACTTGCTCAAACGGACATTCATTTTTTGATATAAATTATTACACTCATCTAAACGACAAATAATTAATATTTTATAACTTTAGGTGATTGAATATACCTACGTAAATATAAAATGATGAATATATCTTTTGGCTATAGGTATAAATCATTGGTGAAAAATTTTATCCTGCAGTAGATAATGTATACAATATCAAATTAATTATATATTATGTTGTGTCCGATTTGCGCCTAAGGCCACATGAAATCAATTTACCACCTTGTTTCACCGATGCACTAATTTCTTTTAAGCATGAAAAGTAAATTCCGTTACATCAATCATCACCGATTTTATATGCTACAACACGTGCCCTGCAATCGGTCTACATGGTATATAAACGACATAAATAGTACCTAGGTATAAGTAAATTATTCATGTTTTAACCCAAATAGGTATATGCGTAAGTGACTATATAATCGAATGTATGTATTTTAGGTATTCCCTTTTCATATCATAAATATTTAAAAATTGTATTAAATACCTATGTACTTTGAATAAATATAATTTTTAAACATACAGGTAGCCGATAAGTGCCAACTTTAATCTTTTTCTATCCGTTGGTTACATGTATTTACATGCAAATACAACATTTAATTTAAAATTATGTATCAAACATTTACTTATTTTTTGATCAGGATCCAATTCCGGCAAATATTGATTGACATAATATTCCGTTGAAGGCAAAAGCTCCAAATCAATCCAATTGGTAAATGGTGTTACTATTTCAATCACGTATCTTATACTTCCATCGTACATCTAAAAATTTTTTTACAAATATTATAACTAAATAATACAACCATCTCATTATTATAATTATTATTTTATTTTTTTAATATAATTAAAATTAAACTCCATAAATAAATTTAAATTTAAACTTTATTTTGATCCAACACAAAAATGTATGATATATTTAATAACAAGTAAATGATGCATATTATGTTAAAAATATATTATATGTTTTTCACTTTTGTACAATAGCCAATAGGTATTGGTATCAAAGACCATATTTCATAACAGAAATACAGTTTTACATCGAGATTAGATTTTATATTAAATCTAAAAATCAAATGTTTGTGGTACTCTATACAATAGTAATAGTATACAATCTATGATTCATAAATATACAACTATAATCTATAAAAACTTTTAAATGTATACATAGTTCATAAAATGTATAATAGGTCGTTATACCTACATTATTTTTAATTAATTTTATAATCTGATAATAATAATGATTTGTAATCACGAATAAGTGGTTGCGTTTTATTTTTAATACAATTTAAATTAAATAAAGTAGGTACTTACATAACTAGAAACACTGTAAGACATTTACTTTCTATTTAATTGTTATTTGTTAACAAAAGTAATTATACATATTTAAATTTACTTATTATATTATTACTTATTAATTATTAGACATGCATTTTCCAAACAAATTTATTTTTATTAATTACTCAAAGACACGCGTTGTCATTTTTATCTTGCCGGATATTTTTATCGATTTCTTTCGATAATTTATTTAGTTAATACAAAAGTGATGTTATGCAATAGTCAAGAATGTTGGTTAAAAATAAAATAAAAAAATCCACGATTCTTGATCGAATTTATCTAAAAATGTAAACACGAAACACATCAAGGCTATAATGAATTAAATAATATATTAAATCGAAATAGGTTTAATACTTCTTGTGGTGTTCTAGTCAACACGGGTAATGAGAGTTCGGTTAAGTCCAACGACGAACACAGCAAACGGTCAATGGCTAACAACTGATCTTTAACGTACGGAAATCTGACAACGTGATCCACGCCAATTGTAGCTTTATTCAGACTCCAGTCAACGACAGCAGAGGACTCCTACAATACAGTATAGCCGAATAAAATATAAAATAAAACCATGACAATTGTATAATTAAAGTTTATATAGTTTAATACGTTAACCAAAAATCTTATAATAATAGCTGCACATAATAACTTCTCCACGGAAATGTACTGGAACTGGATGCAAAATCTTTTAATTTAGCAACCTCCCTGTTTAACAACGATTTTCATCGTTCACCCTTGAAAACAATAGCTGAGTAGTGAGTACAATTACATAGAAGTATTAAAAGTATTTTTATTTCACATTTCTCAAAATCCCTATCTCAAACCTAAATGAATATCATTCAAGTATATGGTTCTACCAAAAATGTATGTCATAACTCATAAGCTTACTATCTTTTTTGACCTTATTATAAACTATATAAAATTAGGCACGTAAAAATACGTGATCCATTTATATTGCCACTATCACTTCTAAATCGCCAAAAGTTCACTAATAAGTATATGTAGCCATAAGAATCCAAGAATGCTCTCCGACGTCTTAAAAGAAAATTATGTCGTGACTTAGGTATCATATAAAAATGCATGGTTAAAAGTATCACTAATAATGAGATATTCCTCATTTCAAGTCTACATGTAAAATTTTAAAAACTAACAAAAGAAAAAAAAAATAATTGTTCCTTAATACTCAGCGGTTAAATAAAAATATCAGTTTAATGATAATATAATATGAATAGGATTTTATAGATTTGTAACTAAAATGTGTGTATTAAGAAGATCTCTGTGAGTCCTACCGGAACAATTCAAGGCACCCCATGATCACCCTCGAAAATTTATCAGGCTGAAAGACGATAGTATTACTATTTACTACTAATATCATATATTTATATGTATTAAAATATAATGTTATCACAGCCGTGGTCAACTTACCTTAAGACTGGCAACGAGCTTCGTGAAGTATTTGCAACCCAAACCGATCACGGGTATTTCGGTTTTGACACGATCCAAACACATCAAGTCGAACTCCGGCGAATCTAACCGTAAATCACCTTCGCTCATTGTTGCATTGACGGACATTTTATTGAACTATTGTTACTATTTTTGTACGTATAAAATCTATTAAATATATAAAATCGTATTTATTATTATTATAGACGGAACAATAATATTATGCTTAAGTACATTGTAGTTCGGGCTTGATTTGAAAAGTTGGAGAGTCTGAAAGATTTGTATGTATCTGCGGACGATGAGCGTCGAAAAATATTAACAGCGCACCGTACTATTTGTAGTACCTATTAAATAGATATTCCCCTCAATGCCAGTAATATTAGCTGATGATAATAAGAAGTATACCTATTATAATAGTATTTTATACCTACTCGAGATAAGATCATGCTGCCCAAACAATATAACACAATTTTAATTATTATAAAATATTATAAATAAACAATTAAAACCCAATAACTATAATTATGGTAATTAATGAATAATTATTTGTATATATTGATGTACAGGCATTAATAATTATTAAGTATATAATCAATTATATTTATAATGTGCAAATAAATGACCTACAGCTATGGGGAATATTTGATCACGTAATAGATGATAATACTACATTGTAGAATGAATAATTTATTTCTGATATACCTACAAATATATTATTACAATTTACAATAATAATATAAATTATAATATTGATTTAATTTTTTTTTTAAAGAACGTATAGTGTATGCAACTAATACTAATATAGAAATATCGTTAAATTTTTTTATTTATGTATGTGTGTGTATTTGTATTGTTCTTAGTCCAGAGACGTTGTCAGCAAAATTTCTTATTGGAGAGGGCAGAAAAAATTGTTGCAAAGTTATCAGTGTGAAATATATCTAATATACAATTTACATTTCAATAAATAAATATTTTTTTCAAAAAAAATTATACTAATGAATTACCAATATTTAAAAGTTATATGGGATCTTGTTTTTGATTTTCAAGCTTTTTTATTGAAATCAAAAATATTAGAACTATAGTATTTCAAAATTTTAAATTCCTACACATAGTTTAAAATTAGTTGTAAAATATTGAACATTTCATTGTCTTTTCAAGAAATAATAATTTGAATCAAGAATAATTCATTTTAGCGACAATGTTTAAAGTACATAGTTATAAAAATAATCACCTATGATGTAATTTTATGAATGTTAAATTTTCATATTTTTTTATTGAAGACTATTATATGCGCGGTATATGATGAGTGAAAGAAGTGAAATCATTAGCTGTGAGATTGGTTGCATTTTTTGGTTGGATTAAAACCATAACCGGACGTTGATATAACGGGCATCGATGTTAAACCTTTGGTGAGTTTACCAGCGTGAGACATAATTTATTAATTACAATAGGTAATTAATTAGTAATTCATTAGAATTTTATTATGTACCTACTATGAATTCAGCTTACGTTAAAACATTTAGAATAACAATGTTTAAACGTTTGTTGCCTGGTGAATAAATATATATTTAAACACCAGAAAAATATTTTCATGATAAAAACATTTTTATATTGTTTTTATGTCAAAAATACATTTTTATTCAAATAAAACATAAAAAAGCTGCCAAGAAATCCAAATTAAATAACGTACTAAATATATTATGTGAAAATCATATTGAGCATTATAATTTAGTATGATTATTATTATTATCATTTTATTTTGAATATTTTTCTTTAGATTATAAAAATTATTATAAAATTAAAAAAATTTAACTAGGTACTTATATTTTAATCAATACGACATAAAAATAAAATAAAATAATAATAAAATAATAATAAAATCAAAATATGTATTGAAAAAAATAGGTATGTCAAAAAACTGAGAAAGTAAATAACTGCTGTCTGCTTTATATTTGTGTAATTGTGTGTATAAAATATAATAAATATACATTGAAAGTATTATTTACGTATAAATAATATTTTTAAATTATAACGAAATAACTGAGATCGTTATCCAGCATTTAAATACCTAATTCTGTATAAATTTAAATTCAAATAATAATAAAAAAAAAATTGTACCTAAATAGGTATCTTTAATGTTTTTAAATATTTAGAATTGCAACTTAAAACGGTTCTTGTTGATACTACATTTTCAAATTTTAGATAGGAATATTAAAATTAAAAATATGAATTTTCAAAATGGTTTTATTTTTATACCTTATATTATATATTTCTATGTCTATGACTATGACTATTATATATTTTTTAACTGTTTACTCGTATACTCAGTGTGACCATGACCAAACGTGATCCGAAATCCCATCTGCTTTCAACTCAGTTTAGGTGACTGGCAGCCTGCTGACACTGCTTCTGCCTACTGCTGCGCTACCAAACGGATGGTTTGAGATACCATAACGGTTATTCCTTATCGTACACTGGATAAAGTTATACCGAGTGCAAACATTGAGATTTAAGAAATAAGAAGCCCATATGCGCATAACCGTCGCACATTGGCGCCTAAACCGTCGCGTTCCCTATTGTTGAACCCGGTGCGCGTTTGTTTTCGTCGGGAATCAAGTTCCTTGTTTTAGACGTTTTTTGTAACTTCAAACTTAATAGTTTGTTGTCTCGCCCATTCACCTTGTGTGATTATTGGCCATGTTACTTTTAAACTATTGAATCTTGTGCAGCGGATAATTTTTTTTAATTCGTTATTTTTTACGGTCGGTGGTGTGACCTAACGAAGTTCAATCACACCTCGTACCAGTCGCGTTTAGAAATAGTAAGTATCTATTATTTTTTTTCGTTGAAAATGTCCTCTATTGAAACAATATATCGTGTAGTTTTGCATGACTATTGTTGATTATAATTCTACCATAATACACTTAATTAATATATTATAGGCAATAGACATAATATTATGGTAAGTACTCTAGAAATAAAACCTGTTTGTTGTTGGTGGAGTGATGCTTATTATTCAATTTTTTATAATTTAATGTATTGACATTGAAAATAATAACGCTTCTCACACAATTAAAACTTCCCCAGATTATGGTTCAGGATTAATTTGGAAATGTACAAAATAACCAATTGATCATCAAGTAAGATTTGTATATTGCAGACATCCAGGCTCAATACATAAGCACTATAAAAATATGAAATATACGTTATAATATTATTGAAACAATAATTATGTGTAAAAAGTACATTCAAATCACAAATTAAAACACAATTTCTATTTGCATTTTTATACATTATGAGAATGAGTGACGCAATGCATTGTTGCATAGTGGCAATCAGTAAGGTGATATCAGTGTGTATACTGGAATTTATATTGAGCATTCATTTATATTTTTTTTGTTAAATAGAAATTTATTATAGCACTTACCGCTTATCATCAAACTCAAATCTTATTACCTATGTTAATCATTTAATTTCATATAAATAAATATTAACAAATAGTTATAAAAATAGCATACAAAATGCAAAAACCCTATTATAAATATTACTAAATTTATATGCTCTAATAACTTTAAATTTAATTTCTTATGTTAAATATTATAGCTTATTTCGCTAACTTTTAATATATTACAAACAAAATGTACACAAGTCTCAAGCCCTGATTTTAATGACTAGGCAAGATAAGTAATTTATTTGATTTAACTTAAAATTCAGTTTAGCATATCTAATCATGAAAATTAATTTTTGTTGAGTCTCAAATCTATAGAAACTCCTAGTTTAAATTTTATTAGCCCACTGTTGCCACCTTTTTCTACACACTTAATAACAATTTAATTAGAAACTGGATAAATTTACTTTTAAATTTCTATCAATATATTTTTACAATAGGTACCTAGTCTTTATTAATTATCTACATCAATCAATATTAATTATAGCAATATATATTAGATTATTTTATTTATATATATATTTGTTAAAAACAAGCTTATGTCAATTATTAATCAAATATAGTACCAATGTTACTTTTTAAAAAAGTAAAAATTATTGTCTTAATTTTTTAGTCTAATTTAATTTGTTTGATCAAAAATGTATTGGTTTTTAATTTAATAATTTTTTTTTTTTTTTTAGTCATGGATAGCCAAAAATCAGTTAAAACCTACTATGGTTTTTTATTGATCAAAAAAGGAAATGGCTCAGTTTGTGGTCGTTTTCCAGTAACAAAGAAAGAATGCATTTTAGGTCGTGATAATAATTGTGATATAAGGATTCTTTTAGAAAAAGTGTCAGCTCAACAATGTAGTATATTATGTATTGATAATAAAGTAAATTAAACTTTTTCTTTTGATTTTATGAGAAATTATTAATTTTATTTTCTAACTTACTAGGCATATGTTCGTGATAAAAGTATTGCTGGTTCAACCAAAGTAAATGGAAAGAAAGTTGGCAGGAGTAATTTTTTATTGCATAATTCAGATGAAATTGAAATTTGTGAGAGAAAATTTGTTTGGGAATATCCAAAGAAGCCACATGGGTAAACTAACATTAAATTTTTTTTGCATAGCTTAACTTTAAAATGTATAATAAATTCTTTAAATTGTCTGTTACTTTAGAGATTTTAATAATTTATCCTGCAAAAAATCTGGGATAAGAAATGAGCATTTATCACCCAGAGTACCCGAACGTTTTTTAAACCAAGTCATCACACCATTGGTACTTAAGTATAAAATATCTCATACCAGGTTGCATAAAAAAAAAATATGATAATTTAATAGTTTAATCTTGAGCATAATCATGTTTAAGACATTAGCTTAGTATCATTAAATATTTAATGATTGTTTATGCAACCAAGAATTAATATGCCTAATTTATTGAATAAGTTAAATAGTTAGTATTTTGATATCATTTACTTATTTTTTATTTATTTATTTTGTTTTTTTATAATTAAATACTTAATTATAAAGAAGATAATTGAATGTGTATTTTAATTAAAACTATGATTTCATTTATGCTAATTAATTTACTTAAATTAAATATTAGGACAATAAGAAAATATTTTCAAATTCATCTAAGAGCAGCATGAAAACTCCCTCAAAAACAATAATGAGCTTAAATAAAACACCTATGTAAGTATTGATTAGTGTAGCTTACTACTAAAACTGAATTAAAATTTTCTTTTTATAATCTATAGTGTTGTCACAACAGAAAATATGTCTAAATCTTCATTTGATGAAGTGCAGAATAACTTACAGAACCAAAATTCAAGTATGTCAATTTTATATTATATAATGATATTAAAACTATTGTACATAGTTAAGGTAATGTAATAATAGTGAATGAAATTAGTTGATTCAAATGCTTAGGACCAGTAATAAAAAAGAATAGAAGTTTTGAAGGTAATCTCTGCAATAGGATTATATGTGAATGGATGAAATAGAGAGGTATCTGATATTTTGTGTAGCAAGAGAATGCCGTTGAGATTAAGGATTAAATTTTGTAATACCATTTTGAGTGTAATAAGGATGGATTTAAGGAGTGAAAGAGTAGGATTCAGTTAAAAATGTATTTATTGTGGATAGTGTAGAAGTAACATCTGTTATAGTTAAAATGAGGAAAGGTGACTCAAAAATAGTGAAGTAGCTGTGTAAATAAATTATGAAATATGATGGGTAAATAGGTATTAATGACTTGAAAAAAGTAGAGATAAGATACATATGCCTATGAAAGTGTAAGAAAAGAGCGATTACCTACTGTGCAGCAGACAGGTATCCACTTGCCTATAATTTTTATTTTTATACTATTTATTAATTTTACCAAAAATCATTTTAAATATTAAAATAGTCTTATTAATAAAATAATAACTAAAATATTATTTATCAACTCTTTTGAACTTTAATTATTTAAACACTTAAATTCATTAGATTAAAATTTCTTTTAAAAAAGTTATTCATAAAATAATGAAAAATACAAATATTACTATTATAATATGCTATATATGTTATATCTTACTTTTTACATCTCAAATTTTGTGCTTATGCTTTACAACTTAATTATTTTTTCTCATTCGCCCATTTATACTATTAAAAATTTTCCATTCAATTTTATTGATCAAACCATGAGTTATAAGATTTTCATTTTGAATGTTACATATTATAATATTTTAAAAGTTATTTTGAATTTATTATCATATATCATATAGTTTTGCATTAATTCAAAATAAAAAATTGGGATCCTACTTTATGTAAGACTTTAATTCTGAATTTAAATTAATAAAATAGTATTAAAAACTACTAAGTAAAATAGTTTATGATTAAAATTAGTAGTTGCCATATTTTAACGGTTATACAACTGTATAAGTATTTAAATAAAAAAACTTGATAAAAATTATATCTTCAATATTTTGTAAACACAATTGTTACAATCAAGTCTTAGTACTGAAATATTAAGTGTTTTTAGTTATCATTTGCATAGTTTATAATTTTCTTTACAGCTTGGATAAAATTAAGAAAGTAACTTGAATTTTTGAATTTGACAATTATTAAAATTTTCTATACATTTATCTATTTGATATTATTAATATTATACATATAAAAAATTTTATTTCAATATTTTCAGCTTCAACTGCTCAATCTGGATCTAAATTGATGAAATCATATTCAATGACTCCTGTTCGAAATATACCGGTAATTGTTAAGATTTTTTTAAATATTTAATGTTAATAGTTACATCATTAATTTGTTAACACTTTTAAAATTATGCTTCAAATAACTAAGTTAACTTAACAACATATCTAAAAAAAAAAAATTGTTGAAAATATTATCAAATTGATAAAAAATATATATTCATAATAGTTGACTTATTAAGCAAATGTTAATTAATTAATTATTAACTATTTATCATGATTTTTCTACACCTTTTTTAAATTTCCAATCATTTATATAATTAGAAATTAATCGAGTATACTTTTAGAATGTGAACCAATTAATTTTATCTTTATGCGTGAAATAAATTAAAATAATAATTTAACTTTTTATTTGCCGACATTAAACAATATTTATGTTTAGGATTTGCTTGTTATGATTTTATATAGACAAATTAAATTTATCGACTATTGGGTATTCAGTGTGACCAATTGATTAAACCAATAATTCCTAATTGTATTTATAATAATTACAATTGCAAGTTAATTTGATTTTTATTAATGTATATTTGATATTTTAATATAAAAAATAAAAATATGTTGCCAAATATGAATATAATCCAATATTGTCCTTAAAATTATAATTAGAAAATTGATAATTGTTTTTAGTAATTTAAAATTGTATCACTGTAACAATAGTACTATGTGTCTATCAATTCTAAAAAGAAACTAATATGGTAATATGTCATATCACTTCATTATCACATTTCTAATTACTTCATTCATAAATAATGCATAATGAACAAATTTGACCAAAACTCTTGATCTTTTGGTTGTTTTAAATTTATATATTAATTTAATTAATTACTATTTATCTAAAATTAAATTAAATTTGTCTATATTGTTTTTTTTTTTTTTTTTGAAAGATATATTATTATTTTTCAATTTAAATAAAATAAATAGGACATTTTAATACATCAAAAAATTAGTAGTTCTGTGTATATATACAGTATTATTCTATTAACTAATATTTTAATTACACTTTTAATTTTATTTTAGCTTCTTAGAGATTCTAAATCCACTCAAAGAAAATCATGGGTTGTTACTAATACATCAGACAATTTATCTTCAATTGGAGCTCATAACAGATTATCTACTCAAAGATTAAAGAGAGATTCTACACCAGAATTAAGTTCTAGTTATCATTATGAAGACGAAGGCGTAGAATTTGATTCCCCAGATCCACCCAGCTTTGTATTGAATACTGAACATTCTATTAATATAAATACTAATAATGATGTTGATAACCAATCAGAATTGAATGAAGATAATGATAACTTACAATCTAATACTGATAACAAGTTAACAGTTTCTGAACCTGAACCGAGCACATCTAGAAGAGATACTTATTCTATTGATGATAGATCTATAGTAATCGAAGAAAATACTACACCTGCTCCGAGACGTTCTATTTTGAAATGTTCAAAAACCACTAAACCTAATCGATCAAGATCAAGCTGCCGAATGGTTCAGTTTGCTCGTTTACCAAAAACTGATAGTAAGATTAAAAATACAAAGACTCGATTAAATCCCGGATTTAGTTTTACTGTTACAGATGATGAAAATAATTTGATTGATTTTGATCAAAGTACTAAAAATTCTATGCAGTTTAATGTTGAAGAGTATGATGATGATTTAGATGGTGTACAGCCATTAGATAATAGTGTTTCATCTTTGATTAATTCACCAATTTTAGACAATAATATTAATAAATCGTCTAAACGAGGATCAAGAGGTAATAAAGTAATGAGTCTTGTTAATTCCATTGAAAAACGTACCAATGAATCTCCTAAGCATAGTATTCGAGCATCTGATCTGTTAAGTATGAATGGATCAAAACACATAGATATATCGCCTAATAATAATTCTCAAAATAATCCAAGTATATTACAAGAATCAGTTTCTTCATCAAGGCGAATTAATCTAGAAGACATTTTTGAAGCCGAAGATTCTCTAAAAACTTCTGGTAATATTGAAAATGAAATAATAGTTCAAGAAACTAAAAAAAGTCCATTAAAAAGTGTTGAACTAGTGTCAAATCCTAATACAAAATCGTTAAATATTACAGAAACTGAAAAAATACCAGTTAATGTTTTTTCTGAAGATGAATCCATAAATGATGTAAATGATCTTGAATACGAGTATACTTTTGCTTCACCATTAAAGCTTCCTTCAGTGAACTCTAATTCTATTATAGAAAATGATAATGATTTAACTTTTGATAATGCCGAAAAGAATTCTATTTCTACTGAAATAATAAATCGGGGTGATACAAATTCAAAACTTCACACGTCTCGTTACATTACAGAAGACTGTACAACATCTATTAGTGAAATTCTGACAAAGTCTAATGATATTGAGAGCCATGTAGTAGATCATGAATTAAATAGTATATCACCACATGATGATAATATAGATGAAACTCAAAAAAACAACTCTAAAAATTTAAAAAATACTATGGTTGAAGAAATTTGTACTAATAACAAAAAAACGCCTAAGAATATTACTGTATCGTCCAAAATAAATAACTCAATTGAAAAAGATTATAATCATGAACAGAAAGATGATTCTGAATTTGTTAACGATAATACATGTATAAATGAAGTCTCAACATCAAAAAATGATGCTGAATTTGCTAACAAAATTAAAGCTATTCAAGGTGAACTTGATCCACAAAAAAATGATAGTGTAAAACTTGTCGATAAACCTTCAGATCTGAATTTTGATCAAATAGATAAACAAAATAATGTTTCAAAAATTGTTGAACAAACCCCATCAATCGTAGTTCAAAGTATGTCTGAAATGTTCAATGGGAGTATTGATGAACATGAAACAACACATTCACAACATAAAGAAAGTCTTGTAGAAACTTATATATTAGTAGGAAAAGATAATCTACAAAATTCATTAGAAATTAATGAAATAAATCTCGATAAATGTAATAAGACATTGAGTGATAAAAGTGTTTCATCAGCTGAACCTGTAAACAAAAGTCTTATGGATGCTATTGAAGTACAGCTTGACAAAATACACAGTAATAATGACACAGACACTAATTGTAATGAAAATAAAACTATTTCTGTAAATTCAACATTGGCCTTAAGTAAACAAAAAACATCGACATCAAATTTGGTTCTTGAAGAAACAGATACTGAAAAGCATACTTTAAAAATAAATAGTCATCTGTCAAATAATTCATTAAACACACTAACAGTTGATGAATCCACAGAAATTATATGTAATTCAGGATCCATATCAAAATCTTTAGAAAAAGATAATGCTAGTAACAATTGTTTGACAAATATTGACAATTCTAATATTTCTGAATTGTTCACCAATACTGAAATAGATGAACCTAATTCTTTGCAGAATATAAATGTAAATAATAAAGAATCAAATTGCTTATCAAAAACTATACCCTCAGACAATCTTTCTGAAAATAATATTTCTCTAAAACCAACTAAAAAAATTACAATCGATTTGGATCAATTAAAATCTGCTCTTGGTGCAAATAATTCTAAAGAATTAAGAAAATCTAATAACCCTGAACATAGTACAATTAATTCAACTAAAATGAATATTGCAGAACTTATGGCTTTATCTTCATCTAGTGATGATGATGATGATGATGATGATGAAAACGATCAAAACAAAAGTTCAGATCATTTACTAGATACATCTATTGGTAGACCTAGGTATGAATCTACCCCTTGGAATTGGTCCAAAAATTCAAAAACCCCTTTTAATTCTACTACAAGTACACAACCTAATGAAATCACAAAAGATAATTCTGCTGAAAATGAAGATAGACTAAGAGATAGAAGTTCTACTCCAGTTCAGCCATTTGATTCTGAACAACAATCATGGTCACAATTGATGAAAGACTTTAATGAATCGGTTAAAAAAGCTTCTGTTACTTGTTATACAAATATTAATAAAACAGGTAAACATAAAAAAAAATTATTTGTTAAAAAATCGAAAGACTCAAATATTAAGAATAATAAATCGGAAATTAAAAATAATAATTCTACACAGGGTTCAACTTCATTAATATCTAATTATACTTCAAATGAGTCTGTTCAGGCTATAAGACCTATAAAAAATGAATCTACTCGAGTTAGAAAATCTATGTTGAGTGATAAAAGAAGATCTACTAGGTCTTCTAAAATCCAAAGTAGTTACATTGACAATTATGACTCAGCAGAAACTAGCAATACTGATGAAATATTACTGAGAAAAAATAATTCCATTGATAATAAAACTGGTGGAGCTGTTCGAGCAAATACTAACCGTTCAACAAAAAGTAAATCTTTAATTTCTATTTCAAAAACTGATTCTAAAAGTAATAATTACTCTACTTCATTGAGCTCATCAGAAGATGCATGTAGTCCAACTAAAAAAATAACAAATAATCAGAAAAACAATCCTAAGTCATTACCTTCAATGAATGTAAATAAAATTAAGTCTAATAATTTAATGATAGAAAATGTTAAAGTACAAATAATGGCTACCAAAGATTCACCATCAAGTAGTGAAGATGATACGTCTTGTTATCTGGATGAAATACAAACATTTGAAAGGGAATTGCGTAGGAGGAAACTTAATAATTATTCTTCTTCTATTAAAACTAAAAAAAATACATTGAATTCTGATAAAGTTAAAACAATAGGAAAATCTAGAAGAAATACTTCATCAACTAAGACATGTAATACTGATTCTAATAATGCATTATCTGAATCAAGTAAATTGAAGTTGGATAAAAAAAATAAAACAACATGTGCTGTAAAATCAAAATCTATCAAAATTTCAAAAACTGTTAAGACAAAGAAATCTACAAATTTAAGAGCAAATAAAAATACTCGGTCAAAACGTCTCTTACCCTCTAAACCAATTAAAACAAGTTCAAAAAATTCTTCTGAGTATGAATCATCAAATGAAACTGAAGAAGAGAGTACCCAAAAATTACAATCACTTGATCTACCTAAATCAGTTAAAGGAAAAACCCAGAAGAAAGATATTTATATTGATAATAATTTACTCTCATTACCAACTAGACGTAGTCAAAGAGGAAAAATCAAAATATCCGATGTTTCAATGCAATCAAGAACACAAAGTCGCAAGCGTGCTGCCAATATATCACCTTTAACTCAAAACAATAAAGACAAAAAAAAGAATATTTTATCCAAAGCAGTAGCGAGCCCAGTTTCTCAGACTTCATATTCTCCAAAGAAATCAAGTTATACTCTACCTAAACAAAATTCAGCAGTTAATCAAGTACCTGATAAATCTTTACCTGAAACTACAAACAAATCTACGAGCTTAAGAATTTTAAGAACTAATAAAAATGCTCAGCTTAACCATCTTTTACCTTCAAAATCAATTAAAACAAGTGTAAAAGATTCTTTAAAGTATGTAACCGAAGAAAGTACTCAAAAACCTCAATCAATTAGTTGTCCATCTAAGTCTACCAAAGAAAAAACTAAAAAAAAAGATATTATTGTTGATAACAATTTATCTTCAGTGTCAACTAAACGTAATCTAAGAGAAAAAAATAAAACTTCAGATGTTTCATTGCAGCCGCCAAAAATACAAAGCCGTAAACGTGCAGCTGATTCATCGCCTTTATCTCAGCCCAAAGCTAAAGGCAAAAAATGTGATATTTTATCCAAAGTTGCAAACTCAGTTTCTCGTGCTTCAAACTCCCCAAATATACGTACCCGAAATATGTCCAAAATATCTGTTAAACAAACTTCTGATAATTCTCTTTCTGAAACTACATCAGTTAGTAAAAGAGAAAAGAAAAAATCAAATGAAAAATTAAAACCAAAATCCAATGAAAATACCCGAGCGAAAAAACGTCAACTGAATTCTGATGACTCTGCTTCATCAACTTGTAAAAAAGTAAGACAAGTAACTTTCAAAGGAGCAGAAATTGAAAAGAAAAAATCTGATTTATCTACTGAGCCCATTGAATCTCTCAAAGTAAAATACAACAAGTAAGTTTAAAAAATTATATAATATTAAAATTAGAATTAAAACAAAACAAAAAAAATTGAAATATCTAGTTTATATTTAAATATATTTAATACATTCTTGTTATTTTGAAAATAATATTAATAATTGTGAAAAATGTTATATCTTTATTCTTTACCAAGAGTAATCTTAGGTGTTTCTATGACTAAAAAATTTGGTTTACCTTGTTAATCCTAGTAAAATTTAACTAGGTAGTTGATCAAATAATAAAGCGACATTCTGGTACGTAGCTGTAGACGTGATTTTTTTGACGTACATATTTGATTCGCCTAAGGTTACTTTTATTTGAGTAAACAATTGCTATTTTTATTAAAATTACATAAAAACAACTTAAAATCATTAAAAGAAAAACAAGCAGGAAAAAGTTGCATTTTTATTTTCAATGTTTTATAATTGCTTTAAGAACAAGTTATGAAGAATCCTATATCACATTTTTAAGTATTTTACCTAAGAAATAAAAATTTCCCTACTAGACTATTAACTACCATTAGAGATTAGAGCAAATGTTTTATTCAGAATCTAAAATGATAGATTAAATACCTACTACTTTTATAAATTTGTTTGTTTTTTTTTTTTTTTTAGAAATGCTGAAAAGTCAATTTCACCTGTACAAAGAAAAACAAGGTAAAATGTGCCTATATTTTTTCACTAGTTTTAAATTGGTTTAAGAACTTCTAGATAACTATATTAAAATTTAGCGTTTTAAACTAGGTGACTATTTTTCCCGTTTCTAATAGATAGTCTCACTTTAATTTCGTTATCTCTGTGTTATTATACTTGTAAATGTGAGCATTAAAAAAAAAAAATAATAATATCCTTTCATTTTACTATTCTGTGTTTAATTATTTTTAAAATCAAAGTTAATAGCTAAATCTTTGAAATATTGGGTTGTTGTTTAATGGACATCTAGTGATAATAAATATTGGCAATAAGTTTAAGATATGTCCATTTACTACTAAAATGTGGTTTTAGAATAATTTTTAAATAATAAAGTTGGACTAAACAATTATCATGAAACAAATATCTTTAAAATACACATTTCATCCTAACAAATTTTTCGATGTTCATTTTTATTTCAGTAAATTTGAATTTGATTTTTTTTTTTCATTTTCAGTTATTTTCTCAACATGCTTACACCACTAAACATAATTTTAAAAATATAGTAGAATAAAATGTTTTTTTTTTTTTTTAATTGATTTATTATGAACTTTTTAGTCCTTAGTAAATTAATAATGACTTATACTACTATATTAACAGTAACAAATAATAAATGACTATGATCTTTGTATATATATATGAAACTGGGTTCTCATAAGACGGCAGTCAATAAGAACATATTATATTGATAATTATAAATATCTTACATATGTAGTGTGAACATAGCTTAAAAATATTTCTAGGAATACTGAAAAGTCAATTTCACCTATTCAGATAAAAACAAGGTAAAAAACAACAAATTTGTGATATATAGTTTAAATCATTTTATGCTAATGTTATGTATCCAGTGGTTTCTCTATTTTTAAGTAATTTATTTTTGTTGAAAAAACTTAAAAATGTTAAATCAACTTAATTATTTTAAATATTAAGAATTATATTTTATTTTTAATTAAACCCAATATTTAACTTTTATAAACTCTATGATACCCAAATCCTATCATCTCTGACAGTAAATTATCTTTGATTGATATCAACATATTATATTAAAACAATAAGACTACATAATATGCTCCAAATGCTCAATGAATTAATACATTGAACTACTTAATAGAAAATCCCTTCTAAGATCAATATGGACCTACTGTTTCAATTTGAAGAAAATTCAGTTATTTCAAAATATTACCTCATAAAAAATAACAAACTCTGTACCACAAATACTCAATCACACTTTTTGCATTAATTTATATTTATAAAGTATTCAGGAAGAAACAAACAACTTTTATAAGAAATCCCTGGCTTATCTTGGCACTTTTACAAAATCTCAAGTTCATGATTTATAGTACATATCAAAAAATGTTATTCCTACTAATTTTCCAAAACTCTTGAATTAAAAATGGTATAGACCATTTAAACTAATAATTAAAGACAAACAGTGAATATCACAACTGGCTAGTTTTTTCTTACAAGTAATTCACTGTTTTACTCAATTATCAGATAGTTTTATTAAGCATTAGGGTACAGATTGAGTATAATATCTTTTCATAGTATATATTTGTATATATATTTTATGTTTATAACCTTAAATTTTAAATTAAAAGAAAACTTAATTGTCAGAATAATCGAATTAAAATGACACTTTGTAATGTATAATTATTATTATTTTAGAAAAGCAAAACAAGCTGCTCCAAAAGATAAAGAGACAATTATTTCTCCTAGAGTACTAAGAGTCAGGGACAAGAAAAAGTAAAAAATAAAATATCCTTAAATAATTTTTATTTATTTGTATTTGTATTCTTTTTTTTTTTTTTTTTTTGTATCGTTTATTTTTATTTTAATTGTGTTACTAATTGACGTTTTTCTTAAGTATAGTTTTTTTTTTTTTTTAATATATTCACTGTAAAGAATACTAGGATTTAAAATTAAAATGAATGTTTTTTTTTTTTTAATTATTGCTATTAATATAATTAAGTGGTAAGCTATACAAGCATTTATAATATTCTGCAATTTAATGTAGTTAAACTATTTGTATCAATCATTGGTTTAGTTAATTGTATTTCTTTAAATTTTGTATTTTTCTTGATTTATGAAACAGTTACTTATGTAATTAATTATATACTAAGTGTCAACAATATGTTTAAATTTATTTTTATTGGGCAATTTGAAATTTGTTTTTCAAAATAATGTAGTTTGTATACAAAATCAATTACAAGTTATGTTTACAAATAGAACTTGTTAACCAATAATTCAAATGTATTTACTATTGATGTTAATAAAAATAAGAACCAGTGGAACTGAAATTTTGAATTTCAATAAAATTACTTAAGTGACCTACAGTTAAATTGAATTCTATTTTAATCAATATATTACTTCTTTTAACATCAGCCACAGATTCAGATCTGTGGGGTGGGGCAAACATTTTTTTTATAGGTACTTTATTCATAATTTAAAATGTTTGACATGATAGTAGGTAATTAATGTAATAAATAAATTAATAATTGTTTAATATAATATAAAATTTATAAATAAAATATTAAAATCTAAACGTCTATTTACATTTTCGTTTTTCCGATATATATATCCACTTTTTATATTATATTATCACATGTGATTTGAAATATGGTAATATCACAATCTGTAGAATTCTAAAAAAAAAAACTGAAAGTTAATATGTTTAAGGGGCTGGGCCCCCTCCCTGGATTAGTCCCTGATAAACATTTAACGGCATATGTATATATTTTACACTATATCATAAAAGCTACAATCTAACTATGTAATAAATTGTTTTTAGAAAAGTACGAATTGTCCGTTTAGTATACTAATGAAAAATAGTGTATAAAACTTTACCCCCAGTGATATGTTTATTTTATATAGCTATTTAAGTAATTTATTTTACTTTAAATATTTTAGTGATTTGATATAATTATTTCGAAAATATTGCATTCGTTGTATTATTAATCATACTTAATTATTCTAATAATAAGTATATATTTATACCATATTATATCAAATTTTATAACACAAAATGTAATATTATCTTTCTATAGCTACCAACTGTAAAATAGAAAAAATAAATCAAAAATGTCACCTATTAAGTATAGTGAAATTCCTATTACTACATAATAGGTACACAAAAGTTTAAGTTCCCACGAATGATATCGAATTATAACAAAATTTACGAACCGTTATTATAAGTATTAATAAGTAATTTCGTCTAAATTAGAATTTAAAATGTCTATAAAAAATAATTGTCTTTATAAGCTTGTAGATTTTAATCAGGTAATCATTTACATTATTATTTTGATGAGGGGGAGTAGACGTTAGGTAGTTTTAAGTGAAATAATGATTATCTACCTAACGTGCTGTTCAACCAATATCCGTGATAGTGATTCACATCTTTACATAGATACGTGTATACTAATACACTTGGGTTCGCGCACGTTGGGTGTAGCAAACGGGCCGCACGCAAAAACACATCGGTCATAATATTTTATGCAACACGACGCGACGACGATTTCGCAGCGCAGGCGGTGGCAAGCGATCTACTCCGATGCAAACCAAACGTAGTTCGGTCATTTGCACACATGTCATCTTATTTGGTATGGGTTTTAAATCGTATCGATAACGATAATAAAAATATAATACTTACTTATCTACTCAATAAGATTTTGTAAATTTAACATAACATTTTATTTTTTAAGTCAAGGACCAAGAACATAAATTTCTTAAAAATATGAATTATTTAATTCGTAATTATTACGTCTGAAACATTGATAATCTAGTTCTAGTTCATAGTTAAATCAATAATAGATTTTATTAATGTACAAGTTGAATTAAAAACTTTATATTTCTAAATTATATTAAATGTCGGTCCGTTTCATCATAATATTCCTCTTCGTTCCCATTTCCAATATAATCTACAGGTTTCAATGACGATTTCTAAAAAAATTATTAAAAATAATGTATAATAAATAATAAAAATAAATAAAGAAACATAATTTTGTTTACTTTGATTCCTTTTTTTTTGTAGGTTTGATTTTCTCTATCTAACAATAAATTATTACTATAAATTAATATTAGGGAAAAAATATATACAAAATATGTAATACTATACCGTTACAACACCATCGTTACCACCTTCGTCGCTTTCAACGGCTTCTAAAAATGTGTATTAGAATATTATAGATCAATATTTTGAGAAAAATAAATTATGCTTGTAATCAAAAATGTGTTACCAAAACAACACGGCATCGCCCTGGATATATAATCCTTTATACCTTTCTTCTCTAAAAATAGAGTTTTTAATTATAATTAAAATGTATTAACGTATTAAATATGTATTAAATGTATAAGTTTGTTTACAATTATTAAATAAATGTGCCATAGATACACATACGGAAAGTATGACGTGTGTTATTATGAAGTAGAAACTACGAGGAGTGAGATATTGTTCAATCAGACGATGTTATACTTGTTAGGACAAAATTAGAAGTGAGTTAAAGATAAATTTTAATTCGTCGAGAAATTTTACAATGATGTGAAATGGTTGATCAAAAATTCAAGAGATGTCAGATAGCTATGGTTTTGGCGTAAGACAGATTTTCTTTTAGATTTCATCTGAGGACTTCATTTCCGCTTCTTCGACTTTCGAGTTGCACGACAGATGTTAGAATAAGATGATTTTTTAAAAATGTTTTTCGGTCTATTGACTTAATGTGACTTGATTGCAAAAATTTACTTATGCAATTTACGAGGTCCACGGTAGAAGTGGTGTAGTAGAAATGTCTTAATACAACATGGAAAGGATATGAGAAACGGGGAAATTATGAAGGATAAAAAAAATTTAAATAACCATCTTTAATCTTCTAGGCATGAGAACATTTTGATTTTTTTTTCTTTTAATCTTGATTAAAAATTATTTCCTAGTCAAAATTCATAAAAATTAATTTAAAAAAATGTTTTTAAAAATCATTTTTTTTTTTCAAATAAGTGGTCTGTATAAAAATTATGATAATAAACATCAGCAAAACTTTATGTTATTTGCATTTAAAGTTCAAACTTTTACAAAATCCTTCAAAATTACAAAAATTTACAAACTACATGAAAAACTATTTTAAATCTTCAATAATTGAATACTAAAAATTATTTTTATAAGTAAGATATCAAAATGTAATACATGTTCCTCATAAATAGACAGTAGTTTATACTGGGACCTAGTACTAGGACATTCCTGCTATTTGGCCATAGAGAAAAATATGAATAACATTGTTGTTGAAGAACATTATTGAAATTATTGTAAAAACAAAAGTAATTTTTTAAATAAAAAAAACTATATACATTTTTTATTTAAATTTAATATTATATACGGTTTTCATTAAATGTAAAATATGAATTCTTTTATTTGGTAATTAATTATTTGAGAGCTATACCTCCTATACAGTTGCTGATTTGCGCAATAAACATGCATTTAAATTCTAAAAAGAATCACTAAATATACCTATCCATAAGATGAGACAAATTTGAATGTCGGTAAAATATTTTTCTCGGGTAAAATTTGTTTCGTAATCTGACACCAAATACTTTATTGGTACCTACAATATATTATAGTAAGCAATACATTGTATACATTTTTTATAATCATAGATGATTGTTATTTGTTAGTTACCTATAATCCATTCCTATAAGAAAACGATTTTATTTTGTTTATCCTATAAATATCACACAGTTATCTAATACAATTAATATGAAAAATACAAAAATGATAATTATTACCTTCTTTTTCTTGTTTAAGCGAATGGATCAATGTCAATCCAATGCATAGCACTATAAGTATGAGCCTAGACTCAATTGAACATTGAAGACATTTTTTCAACAGAGTTAAATAATTTTCACAGTTTAACCTCTATTATGACTTTTCAGTGACTAACAATAATTAAAAAAAAACTCAAATAATAAAACCATAGATCTTTTTATAACTCCTGATTGTTCAAATGTTGTTTTAAAAGCAGTTACAGGCCGCAACAAAATGCACCTGCCATTAATATTGTTTTTGATAATAACATATTTGTATAGACTAGGTATTAATAAAGTATAACGTTTCGATATATTTTTCGTGGATGAATTTTCACCAATGCTATACCGCACTTATACAGCACTCCAATACTATATTATTAAAAAATATAAAAATATTTTTCTCCTATTAGTACTATACACATGTAGGTATAAACTACAGGCGGAGTTATTACTTAGACTAATAAGAGTATGCGTATTAATATGATATATTATATAGATACATGTAATTAATAATTACCTTAAGTTAATTTTGAATACACTATCGATATGAGTAGTGTAAAAAGGAGGTTCAGATGTCACCATCACCATAGAATTAGGTTAGATTTGCGGTGACATTGGTGAGAGGGTGGTGGTGGTGGTAATGGCATCAGAACCCCCTTTTTACACTACTAAAATGGAAGATGGTAAACTATTATATCATATAATAATATTTTATTGATGATTTATCATTCCAATCATTGAATTTGACCTGTTATCAAATTTAAAAAAATAGATATTATATACCCCCTTCCCTACGCACAAAGGTTTTTCAGATGTTTTGATTTTGAAGAAAGTTAAGAACATTTCTAGATTGTTAACATCTCGTTTTTTTTTAAATACTCATTACCTATTTCAAAATTAAATTATAAAATATAAAAGTCAATTCAATTTGTTATAAATAAAAACATCAAGTAACTCTCTCACTGTCATAATTTGAACCTCTAATATCTATCAAAAAAAAAGTTTAAGCCTTTGCTA